AAGCGGATTTGCGAGGAGCTTCACCCAGGTACCTTTTAGATATCTTTTTTACGTCGTCGTCTCTAAAGGATTGTGCCAGAGTTCAGAGAGGTTCGCATCCAGAAAAACATCGCAAGCAGCTGGTCTCGGGCATTTCAACGAAGCGCAACATGTTGGGGATGCACTTGCATGTATGCACAGGCTCGTCCAGTGGCAAGCTGCTCACTGTCAGGGAGCCATCTCCATGCTCGAGATCATCACCAAGAAGGTCAAGGAGTTGCAACACGTTACTGTCCCGCTGGAGGCCACTAGGGAGACGAGCATTTTCGAAGCTCTGTGAATTACTTGAGGGATGGAAGATTGAGCCATGATCAAAGCTTACCAAGGCTGGCGGCATAACCTCCTCAAAGACCTTGCTACGATCAAACGCCACGCACAGCCCTCGTTCCATATTTTCAGCCTCGTGCTTATCTGATTTTCTGCCGTTAAGAGCCCTAAAACTTCAGGTGCCACCTCCACATTTCTCCTTTCCCTTCTCACATAAACTCCAACACCCATGGCACTCGATTATGCGTTGACACCCTGGAGCCAGCTCCTCAGAGCATATAAGTCCGTGCCTGTATCCCTTTTGTGAGGTCAAGAGCGGGGTGAGGGTCAAGAGGACCTTGGTGCAGCAAGGGGCCGCAGTCGTTCTCAATTCCCACCTCACCTCTTGGCGTCCCGTATACTATCCTCTTCCATTCTCTATGGAAATCTTGGTAGCGCCCGTGGCTTCCCAGTGTTCAACGGAGACGTGGTGAGTGGTGGAGTTGCGACGGCGCTGCAAGACGGTGCAGACGTTCTCAGTGCTCAGATACGCTGACAAAAAGTTGCATTCTTGCATCCATGCATTCATGTGACACACCGCATGATTAAAACAGCATAGAGGTAGATAGGTAGATGGATAGTTCCTGCCCTTTCTGCCTCAAGTAATGCTTACCACTGGTGGAGGGTGGAAACACTAGGAGATGAACCATGTGTCTGCACCACTTAGTGGCGAAGAAAGAGCGCACATGGCTTATTTGGCTAGTTCGCCACTGTTGCCTCTTGCAGCTCCTGTACAGGAAAGTTAGTGCAAGGAAAAGGCCAATCTGTGATAGCAAACTCTAACAGAGTGGCTTTTTCCACGGCACAGACTTGTGTTTAGAAGATCTCCTGATACTAGCTTGAGCAGATCCACTGGCAGCAGCAACACTGAAGAGTGCATGCAAGGGGAGGTAGTAGGAGCATCCATGCATATGTTTAGATGGTTCCTCCTATTGCCCCTCTCTTCCTTTTCGTTAATCAAGCTGAGCTTGATCATTGGCATCAACGACAAGAGAGGAGCAATACAAGACAACAGTTTGTTTGTTATTGTCAATAACCATTAAGGTGTTGTTAAATAAAAATTCCTCTTATTCAAATTTCTCTACTCCTGTACTAATGTGGCCTCACCTTCTTATGCCAAGAATCAGTGCAAAGAGCCGATCCCCACACTCATTTTCTTGTAAGAACAAGAAAACGAGTTGCAATCCTGTGCCAAGAATCGGTCAGCTCCTCATATATGAGAATAATATTTACGTATTTAGGAATTCATGATTTTTTGGTGAGATATCTGTTGAGGGATAAATTACTTAGAATATAGTGAATCATAATCGTAAAAGGAAATGTTTAGGTATGGCTATTAACATTAAACCTTAATTACCAACAAAGTACTAGAGTTAAAAGTTAGATGAAAGAATATCCTAGAATATATAAGGATATTCTGGGTGTATTATTTCTAGTTAAATAAAAACCGCCCAATATTTAATTGGTGATGTGGCGATTAACTGATGATGTGGCATACACGTGGCAAAAACTGAGTCGACGCACAGTGGCGGGGATATTGATGATCAAGCAGCTCCACTCGTCAACCGAGCGCAACATGTCAGAGATGCCCAAGAGGACTTGCTGGTATGCATGGAGTTGAAAGATCTCTGTGCTCGAGAATTAAGAGTCGAGACGGTGAATTCCTAATCGCCATGAAAATGAAGCAATTCCTGACTGCTACACGCGCATTGGATCTTCCTGCCGCAGGATGGGCAGACTCATTTCTTGTTCTTGATCAGATTCCCATTTGGCCAAGAAAGCTCTCGTTAACGGTTGCGCTAGTGAAAAGGAGAAGAGCAAAGAGAAATTTTTATTACGGGCGGAGAATTTTACAAGGAGGATCCTTGGCTCTCAAAACAATTGATTAAAGAGATGCCAGTGATAAGCAACAACGGACTCAACATACTAGCCTTGGCACTCTGATCAGCTCTGCCGCTTTCCTTGGATTCACCTGAGCTCTCCGGTTCCCATTAACCTCCACATGGATGCCGTTTTTGATTGAGGAGTTAGTGATTGTACCAGTGCCAGTGGAGGTACTCCAGTGGCACTGGTCAAAAATGGCATCTATGTGGCGCGGCCAAAGAAACCCGAGAGGAACTGGATGAATGGGGAGCGTGGAGGGGAACTGAGACAGGAGCAGCAACAGTGCTGCAAAACAGATCTCTCCAACCTCATAGCCAAGCAGCGAGCAGGAGAATGCCATGTTCTAGCGGGGAAAAGGGCTTATATGGCCTCAGTGGGAGACCTTCCATTACTCCAGGGTGTCAACCAAATAAATAAGTGGAGGTTGTATGAGAAGGGAAGGGAAACTTGAGGAAATTAATTGGAATATGGAGGTGTCGCGAAAGCAATGCGTGAGGCTAAGGAGCGAAAACAAGTTTGAAATTTGAAGGTTCTAAGCACACGCTTTGACGTCGAACTCCTTATAAACAACTATAAATAATTGTTGTGTTTTGTGCTGGCAATGTCAACAGCTGTGCCTGCTCAGTCATCCGATCTTTTTGCTCAAAAACTTCAGTAAAATTTAATGTAATACTCTTTTGTATTGCTCTCTTTGCGATTTCCTTAATAACACCTATACTTGCTACAAACGATTCGAAAAGAATCTAGGGTTCTTGGACTTGCATCGCATTCTCCCGCCGCGAGAACAAAATCCACCCTCTACTATAAGGTTCCCAGCATTTCACTCGTTACGTGAAATTTAGGGTTCTTAACGCATGTATAACCTTGGAATTCTGCACCTCTTCCTAGTTCCTATTCGATTCATTTATCAAGCAATGAATGAACCGTAAGGTAACCAACAATAACCCATCTAAACCACAGGAAATGTTTCACACATTTTCCAATTTTGCGGCAATGTATCAAGTCACAATATCTCACAGCCCAAGCAGTTGCATAGTGGATTTTAGATTTCTGTAACACCAGGCCGAATTGGGCTCAGCGAGCCCGCTGTGGGAGCTCCATGTTAAGAATACGATTTACATGATGTGATATGCCTTGCCACGTGGGTTGAACACTTTTTCTCCCAAAAAAAAGTGTTTTGCCCTGCGATGAGAATGCCGGCGGCGATCGATCCATCCTCCGGTCAAATCCAGGTGAATCCCCTTCGATCTCCTTCCTCTCTCAAGAGGTCATCGCCATTCTCTAGACTAGGATCGACAACCCACCGGTTCAATCGCGTAGTCCTGTCCGCGACCAACAGTAGCGATCATGGATCCCTCTTCATCCCACTCCAATCCAGCCCGGAGCAGCAGCGCGCCAAGGTCACCGTCGTGGGCGTGGGCAACGTTGGGATGGCGTGCGCGCAGACCATCCTCACCCAGGAACTTGCGGAGGAGCTCGCGCTCATCGACGTCAACCCGGACAAGCTGCGCGGCGAGATGCTCGACCTCCAGCACGCCGCCGCGTTCCTTCAGCGCGCCACCATCTCCGCCTCCACCGACTACGCCGCCTCCGCCGGGTCGGACGTGTGCATCATCACCGCCGGCGCGCGGCAGCGCGAGGGCGAGACACGGCTCGACCTTACCGCGCGGAACGCCGCGCTGTACCGCAAGATAGTGCCCGAGCTTGTGCGGCACAGCCCGGGCGCCGTGCTGCTCGTGGTGTCCAACCCCGTGGACGTGCTGGCGTGGGCTACGTGGCAGCTTGCGGGCAGCGTGCTGCCGGCGACACGGGTCATTGGCAGCGGCACCAACCTTGATACCGCGCGGCTCAGGTTCCTTTTAGCCGAGCAAATGGGCGCCAACGCCCGCGACGTCCAGGCCTACGTCCTGGGCGAGCACGGGGACTCCTCGGTGCCGGTGTGGTCCACGGTGAGCGTCGCGGGGAGGATCCTCCGCGAGGAATGGGGCCCGAGCTCCTCTGCGGAGCTGGAAGAGCTACACCGCGGCGTGGTGGAGAGCGCGTACGAGGTGATCCGGCTCAAGGGCTACACTTCGTGGGCGATCGGCTACTCGACTGCCAGCATCGTAAGAAACATCCTGCGGGACCAGAGGAGGATCTGCCCGGTGTCGGTCATGGCCAAGGGGTTTCACGGGATCGAGGAGGAGGTGTTCTTGAGCCTGCCAGTCCAGCTCGGCCGGAATGGGGTGGTTAGCGTGGTCAACGCGCCGCTGTCCGAGGAGGAGGCGGCCAAGCTCCGCGGCTCCGCCAAGACGCTCTGGAACGTCCAGCAGCAGCTCAAACTACTTGATTAAAATACGGGCACTAACTTGAGACCAACATTAGAGGTAAATGCTAAGAAGTTGGTTCTTATACAAAATTGCTGGCTTCCTACAGTTCTATACAATGCAACAATCTCATAACGCAAGATATTTTGGACCAAAAACTGAGATCACTGACATCAGCAACTTCTCATCGTTGCGATCTACTCATCGGATTCGATCGATCGATCTACATTGGCCATACGCAAGTTCCTTTACATTACTCGGCTGATTGAATTGTTTCTCATACAACGAAAGAATCTCTACGAGGGCTTGATCTCTTTTGAAAGGGAAGTTTGTGTGTTCTTGGAGATGGTATATAACAATGGATTGCCAAATGGGATGGAATGGGGGTCAGATGGTTTCAGCACTCAAGAAAAAGGAGAGGCCCTTCCTTAAATCATATGTGAACTGGAGGCTGAGGAAGAGAAAGAACGCAACGCAGCAGCTTATAAATCTTATTAGGGACTTGCTTAGTGTAACATTTGATAATTCACAGAGAGTTATATGGTTAGAGAAGTTGTGTGTGCTTAGAGAAGCTGTGTCTAGACTATATGAGACACAATATGCGGCACGTCGAATCGAAAGTTCCGGAAGCTCTTGCCTGGGAGATCTACGAAGCTGGTGCTCGTTGTCTCCTTCACTGCCACAACCGTGACGCTGTGGCTCACCATAATGGGTGTCGAGAATGTTGTGTGCCCGCTCGTATTTGCTTTCCACACTGTCACTCCTGCAAGAACCGAGAAGCGAGAGATTTCTGGAAGGAGAAGTGAAGATAATTAATACCTTTGCTTCCATTGTCGCTCTTCAGTGTTATCAATGGCCTGTTCTTGACAATCCATGCCTGAAGGGGCCTGCAAGTAAGCACGATGAAACTTTAGAGAAAGTTCTCCACGTCCAAGCTTACCTGAGAAATGGCCACACCATATAGTACTTGAGCCCCGTTGGTCCCCTGTTGTGTGACGATTCATTACTGTGCTTGGGTAAGTCCTCTATCCGATGCCAAGCTATCTCCTGTAATAAAGCAATTCATCAAGTTCTTGCCGCTCAAAACTGGGCGAGACCACTTACACTAATCTCTTTCTTTGTCTGAGGAATGAAGAGCGTTTCTTCTGGAACGCCACCGACGATGAAGAGTCTCATCCGTTGCTGCCCGATGACAACTTCCAGGTGATCGTCAGTTCTGATGAGCTCTGAGACGTCGAATCCAGTTTCCTCCCAGACCTTGATAAAAGAACAAGTTAGTGAGCAAACGTCAAGTAGTTCGCAAACCTCTCTGATAGCACAGTTGTGATCCTCCTCGTCCTTGTTCTTCTTGCCTCTGGGAAAAGTCCAGCTAGCTCCCGGTTTCCATCCCTTGACCATGAGACACTGACGAGAAATAGTGAGAGGGAGAGAAACAGGAAAACAAAAAAGACTCTTAGAGCTTACTCTTTCATAAGACTCGTCCAAGATGATCGCACCAGTAACAGGCACACTCGTCTTGTAGCTTGTAAAGTTCTTGTAGATATCATCGAAGTGTGCGATGTATGGACGAAGCGCGACACATTTTTGGAACACTAGGAAGAAAATGTAAGCAAAGGGGAGAAAAAGGAGGGAGAAATCTTACTGAGAGCAGTGAACTCTCGCAATGTTAGCGATTTCAAGGAAGCATTCTGCTCCATGGTGTTGTCCTCGTAGAACCAGTGAGCTTGCTCCAGTAAGAAGAGGATCCGCTCGAAAGATTCCAGTTCCTCCTCGGGCGCATTGAGCACGAACCGGCTGTGGGAAGAAATAAATAGCATCACGGCAAGAGGATCATCACAGCACAGAACACCTCACCTGCAAAGATCATCGAGCATCTCCTGCGAAGGGAGACGCGAGGAATGCCCGCCCTGCGCCTTCCCATTTCCTCCTCCCGCTGCCATGGGTTTAGGGCGAAATAAGCAACATAAGATTCGAAGGAATCTAGGGTTCTAGGAAGCTATGGCGCATTCTCCCGCCTCGAGGAACCATGCCACCGTCTTCGAACGCCACGGTAAGATTCCCATCGCTCTTGCCGCTCTCAAGGATTGCCACACCAACGCGATGTGCTCGTGGCAATGTATTCTCGCCGCTGCCGAAGCTCGCCGCATCTTCGATGGGATCCCGCAGCGCACTGTTGTGTCGTGGAATGCCATGATTCTCGCAGATTGGAAAGCGAGCTGGCGCTCGACCTCCTCGAGCGGATGGTCGTCCCAGCTCGCGTGACTTTGCTCGCCGCGATCAAGGGCTGCACTAGCTTAGCAGAGATCGAGCAGGGGAAGATTGATAGCTCTTCCAAAATGGTGAAATGGAGTGCATGGATAGAGCACGAGCACTTCACGGCCAAGCAGTGAAGCACGGTCTATCTCAAACTCTCTGGTGACTTAGTGTGGCAGCGTGATGGACGCGATGGTGGATCTCACGGTGGTCGCCTGGAGCGCTTTGATTCTCGGGGTACGCTGATAGTGGACAGGGGGACGAGGCTGTAAATCTCTTGTCGCGAATGCAGGACCAAACTGCGTGACTTATCTCGCTGCTAAGCTTGCCTGAGCCTGGGATCAAGCGCCAGTGACGAAGCTACGTGTCTCGGCAGAGGACAGCTATCAGTTCTCAAGTAGCAAAGAACGGGTACGAGCGAGAGATCTTCGTGGCAAACGCGTTGGTGGACACATATGAGAAGCTGGGAAGCACGCGTGAAGTCTTCGAGGAAGCACGACGTGGTGTCGTGGAACTCGCTGATTCTCGGCTATGCCGAGAGCGGAGATGGAGCGATGGCTCTCGAGCTCTACAGGCGGATGGACGTGAGGAAGATCCATTTGGTGGCACTCAAAGCTTCCGTTGCTCTAGCTGCCGGAGAGACGAGCAGCGGAGTGAAAGTCGAGTCCTTGGACAGAGGCAGAGCTCTACATGGCGACATTCTTCACAGTGGAGGAAGGTAATTAATGGAACTAACTGGACCCTAGAATGCTCTAGAATATTCTACAATTTAAATTTTTAGGGTTGGAAGGGGTTTACTTGTTTTACCTAGTCTTGACCTTTCTTGTGTACTTTTCTAAGTGATAAGCTCCTAGTTGTTATGGAGGAAGCATCCTGACTAGCTGACGCAAATGACTCTAGAATCCAGTTGGAGATCACGGGCTAGACGTGTAAGATCCAACTTTCATACTTTGTCAAGTGTGTGATCGGATCCTCACGAGCGAGTTTGATTTAGGATGATCGAAGACCACTTTCTCTTCACAAATATGACAAAGGCTGGGAGACAAGATGGATTTCTCAATCAAGTGCTGCGTACTATGACTAGTCCAAATTGTCATCCGGGTTTCACAGGATTGAGCACCTTCACACTCAAAACACCAAGGCCAGAAACGTGTGTCAACGGTTCATCCAAACGTGAAGCCGAGACACGTTCTTGGGCCACGAATTCCGATCCACCCTCCCAAGATCGCTTTGAATTCTTCATTGAGTTTCAAATGGGTTTCCTTTGTCAACCTTTAGTTGCAATCTAAAACTTGCACCTTTCTGGGAAGCAGCGCGTTTCATAAAAGGACAAACCCCGCCACATCAAAATGTGTAAGTCGGCAACAAATATCTTTCATTCTACACTAAGCCCTACGTCGTAGTCGTGGGGCTCGGGCGTGGAATTACCGTGACTTTGATTGCATTGTTCTCCTTCTTCAAACAACCATTCGCATTCCTCCTCTTGCGTTTTCTACCACGCAATTGCTTTCTTTTTCCTCGCTTCAGTTTGGACCAGGTTACAAGCCGACGACGATGGCCGAGACGACTACTTTGCGCGGCCGAAAAAGTATCAAAGTCAAAGGTGGCGGACGTGGCTCCAGCTTCCTTGTTTGGTACATGGCCCTAGCGCCGGTCTCTACGGAGTCTCTCCACGCCTACACTTTTGGACCGGGGATTTGAAGCACGTCAACTTTGGGTCCCGCAAAAAGTCCTTGGCCCTCACGTTGTGCCCAATCCCCACGTTTGATTTTGTTTTCTAAAGGGTGTTAGACGTTTTGGGTGGAAAAAAAAAATCAAAATAGATTTAAGTTGAGACAGACAGCACCGACTTTCAATCGCTGACTCTAGTTCTAAATCTGGATTAAGTCGTCGTCCCTCAAATTCCAGACGGTTTTTCGGGCGAACATTAATGAATTGCCACAAGACTTTAAGTGTCCAATGTATAAGACGAGAAGAAAACGATTTGGAAGACTTTGAGTCAATCCATGTCGTCACGACACTGTCCTCTTCGTACCGTATCATTCAAGGACTTCTGTAAGATGGTGATCAACGAGGATCGCGAACATATTCGATCCTAATCGCTTTTCCCGGATTCAATACAAAACAGCACTGGTCGCAATCTCTGCTCCCTCGCAGCAAGAAGTCAAACAAGTGGACACGATCGAGTGAGGGATCGATGAACCTCCACTGGCTTCATGCAGAGATTAATAAACGCCTATGTTCAAAGTCTAAACTTGAAAAAAAATCTCCAAAGCTTACTCAACAAGAGGACAAGGGTGGAGGAAGAAAGGCAATTGGCCAAGCCAAGACCTTTGAGGAAGTTCGAAAGAACATGGGTTGCAATCTTTCGCGGAAGCAGCAGCCGCGACTTCCACACGACCGGAGTTTGAGACTTTCCCACGGCGACGATGTTAGACACGTCGGCAAAGCGGCGGGCGAAGATCCAGCCACGTGGTTCCGACGCGGTCCAGCATGGCCGCGCACGTCACCCGGGAAGTCCCCCCGCCACGTCGGTCGTCTCTCTTCCGAGCTCTTCCCAGAGAAAGTACCCGGATGGTCTCGCGGGTCGTGGTGTAGCTTGCTTGGCTCTCGTCACATTTGAAACGAAGACCATAAGCCGCAGCTCTCTGACCCTGCAAGCCTTCCAAACGTGGGGAAATGAGGAAGCTTGGAAGGAAGCAAGCCAAAGAAACTCGCTCGTTACCAGCTCAAAGGTCAAAGCTCGAGTACGCGTACAAGGCATCGAAATCGTAGCGATCGTCTCTGGCGATCCCAGCGAGGATATATATATATGTGGTTGAATCTTCACTGCAGTCCTCAGAACCAGCGATCAATAGCGATCAATCCGAGCGGAGCGAGGAGAGATATATAGAAACCTACAGTGGAGGGCGGTGATCTTTTCTCCAGTGACATCACCGCTCATCTCATTCTTTCCTGGCTCCCTTTTTATTAAAATTGCGGCGGGGTTCTCTTTTTTCTTCCCGGCTTCCTCGGCAACACGTCTTCTCCGTCTCGCGCCTTTAAAGAAGAGGGGAAAGGAAGACCTTGCGCTTCTCCCAAGTGGCAATTCGCTGGCTAGAAGCGCTGAGCTCTCCGCTGTCCTTGCTTAACGGTGTATGTATTGTCTTCCGTGTACTGCAAGACGAGCACGTGAATATATAGGATAAAGGAGTAGATTGCGAGGCTTTGATATCGTCTTTAGAAGAGAAATGCTTCCGGCGGTGGATCACGAGCAATCCAAGCACCAGCAAATGGGATCTCTCAAGAACATCGATCTGTCGGTGAAGCTGGAAGAGCAAGACGAGGAGGAGGATGAGAGCACTGACAAGGAAGAGAGCGTGGCGGTACCTTTGGAGAAGGAGGAGACCACTGCAACCACGATCACGACTTCTGGGAACCACGAGCACGTCAAGGTAGCGAGAGAGCAAGAGTGTGACAGTCCTCACCAGAAGAGGGGGGTGGACGTTGCCGGGAGCCTGTTCCAGAGCTGGATCGATCGCATGAAGCACACGGAGTTGAAGCCCAGCATCCAGAAGTTGAGAAGGAGTGCCGATGATGGCCGGGTCTCGGCTCAGTGGCTCCTCAAGGTGCGTTTTTTTCGATCTCGATCCATTCTAGTTTTGCCTGTTCTGAGCTCGTTTCTTCTCTTGCAGAGCAAGAAAGTTGTGAGTGACAAGTCAACCGTCGAGGACACTTCTCCCGCATCATCCCCAAAGAATTCCTCCACTCACAGTGACAGGGATCATCTCGAGGTCCTCAAGGAGCAGCTCAAGTTGCGAAACGATGAGAACGAGCAGCTCAAGTTGATGCTGAATCACGTCACTGCGGAGTACCAAAGCCTCCAGGTGCAGACCATGGCGCTTCTCCAGCAACAGGTATGACAGATCTTTCTCCCAAAAAGTTATTTTTTGTTTGTTTATCTCATCTCGATCGTACTGGCAGGATGCAAAGCCCGAATTGACTGGGAAAAGGAAAGCCTCCGAGATGCTCGATGAGCAGGATAAGAAGGATGGAGTGACCGGGCTGCATCCAAATTCTCCTCCCCGGCACAATTCCCCGGCCTCCAAATCGGAAGAGAAAGAGTCTGCCGAGCGAGTGGATTGGCCCCCGAGCAAAGTTCTCAAGACCCTCCATGAGAACTCAAGCACGACCACCGCTGCCGGCAATAACACAGTGACGGATCCCATGGTCCGCAAAGCTCGAGTCTCAGTTCGAACGCGGTCAGAGAATCCCACTGTAAGTCACAAAACTTCCACGATTCACGTTTGTAGCGAAGTCTAACCCGCCTTTACACAGATGAACGATGGCTGCCAATGGAGGAAATACGGCCAGAAGATGGCCAAAGGAAATCCATGCCCGCGCGCTTACTACCGCTGCACCATGTCACCCGGCTGTCCAGTTCGAAAACAGGTACGTCTAGAAAGCTAAAGTCGAGAAGAAGAAAAAATCTCACCTTGCGTGTAACTTTGACAACTTCCAGGTCCAGAGGTGTGCGGAAGACACATCCATACTCGTCACTACGTACGAAGGAACTCACAACCATCCTCTCCCACCGGCGGCCGCGGCGCTGGCCTCGACAACCTCGGCGGCGGCAAGCATGCTCCTCTCGGGCTCCACCATGAGCGACCCCCACGGCTTCAACGCTGCCGCGGCCGCCGCGAGCTACATGGCCGGCCACCTGGGACCAACAATCTCCGCCTCCACGCCCTTCCCAACCATCACGCTCGACATGACCAACAATCCCAACCCCGCTACTCAGCTCAGCCTCCGTCTCGGGGGAGGCACTGCCGCCAGCAACGCCGCCTCCACCCCGCTCCTGTCACTCCCAGGAGCCATGCTCCAAGCACCGTTCTTCCTCGGCCAGCAGTTCGGAGGGCTGGAGCAGCAACAGCATCACCAGCAGCAACGCTTTCCCGGGAGCCAAAACGTGGACACTTCAGTCAGTGCCGCCACTGCAGCGTTGACGTCCGATCCAAACTTCACCGCTGCTCTCGCCGCAGCCATAACTTCCATCCTCACTGGAAAGCAAGGCCAGCAGCAGCCTCATCAGCCACCATTTTCGCAGATGACTTTGTCAGCTCCACTCTCACTTTCCACATCGTCGGAGCAGCAACAGCAGCAGTATCATCACCACCAGCAGCAGCAGCAGCAGCAGCAACAGCACCAACAGCAGCACCACTACAGGGCCCCAACATTCGCTGGCACCGATTTATCTTTGCAGCTCAGCACTACGCCCAGCGAGCCAGTCAAACCCATTGTCCTGTAGAGAGCCACCCTGCAAACAGCGAAGTCAATATAAGCATGAACGTTAGCTCAACGAAACGAAGCGAAACGAGTAAAAAGGAAGAAAAAAACAACCATTTTTTAAGGCTTTGACACGGGTCCCCAGAGAGAAGGCAGCCTCTCTCGTTCGACCAAAAGGCACAAAAGCACACGCACACCCTGGAAGAGATAAGAAGCTGGCAATGAATAAATAGAATTTTTTCCAGGTCGTCAAAGCATACAAATAGTAGCCGACCCAAACTCCCCTACTTTGGAAAAAAACGTTCCCCACTGGTTACAACAGAGTTGCAAGGAAAAACGAACGAACTATAGAGTAAAATGACTTTTAAGGAGGTACAAAACCAGTGGTCCTCGGCTTCGTGCTTGCGTTGGAGCGCTTCTACTTGGGCCCGATGTCCTTGAGGGCGCAAATCTGCTCCTCCCCGAGAGCGGACATGACTGTCACAACGAGATCCTTGCCGTCATGGAAGCCAGAAGAAATCTGCGGTGGCAAAGCCCTTTAGATACACACACGAAAGTGTTCTTTCGCAAAAGTGATTCGTGACGCTCACCTGGGCGTTGAGCTGATCATCAGTTGGAAGGCGGAGGTCGTCCTTGGTGTCACCATTCTCGGTGAGGAGACTCACCTGGATCACACAATGACGAAAAGATAAGAAAAAGGCAAGGCATGAATCATAAAAGTGGGAGCTTTGGTCATACAAATCCGTCTTCCGAGATGTCAATCAGCTGGTAGTCGGTGCGAGTGACTTCCGGAACCTGGGAAAGCAGAGGAGAGACCGCGAGGATCAAAATGCGTTGAAAAGGGAGCAAAAGAACTAGAGAAACTCACATCGCAATTGTGGGAAGATGGGACAATATCCTCGAGCTTTTTCCCGGTGAAGATATCGATGCCCACGAAATGGCACTTCGCATGGCCGTGCTTGCCAGTCTTGGAAGTAGACACCTCAACAACCTGCGAGTAGCCGGGCATTAGCGAGAAATTAAATGCGGCCGCGCGTAAGCAAAACAAAATATCCAGCCGAGCTGATCACGCTCCAGAGCCCTAGGCGGCGGATCGAGATCTGGCGAGCGGCGGATCGGAGGAGTTACCTTGCAGGGGCGCTGCTTGATCACGATGTAGGCGTTCTTGCGGATCGTCCCGGCCTGCTGGGGATAGGTCTTGGAGGCGCCGGCGTCCGCCTTGTTGTCGAAGTGATGCTCCTCGTCCGACATCGCCGCTGCCCTGCAATTGCCGCACGGACCCTAACTCTAGGGTTTCACAGAAAAGGAGAGAAGAAAACCAAACACGTCACACGAGCCCTTAACAAATGTGGGCCGCCCGATGCCCGCCCGATGCCCGGACGGGCGGCGACGATTCTGCACAGCCGGAGCCCTCGGATTGCTGGATCTAACGGCTGCCCCTACAGTATGCCACGTGGACAACTATAACCTTCATTAGATTAGTGTAACACGATTGCACTTTGCTTAACTTTATATCCCGGGCTGGTGGTATTTTCTAGAAGAGAAAAACCTCTTTGGTTTTGTTTGGGACAAACTCGACGAGCAAGAATTGGTTCACAGACGTTCCAAGATCTCTGTAGCAAACTAAACGACGCGAATTCCAGACTTGAAAAGATAAATCTTTCACTCTCTCTCTCTCTTTCTCTCTCCATCTATCGAGCAAGCACGAAGTGGAACTCCTCTCGAGTATGGAGGAGGTCGATCGAATTTTGCTGGTGTTCTTCCTGATAGTTTTCCCAGTAGCAGTAGCAGCAGTGGCGGGCGATCCTTGTTCAGCTCTCAAGAACTTTGAGGTATGCCACGGTCTGGACGAGCGAGTAACCATCGCTTGGACACTCCACGGGGACGATGATCCATCGAGGAAAAGCGTGCTCGAGGTGGCGGTAACCGGGGCCCTTCCAGCTCGGACTGGCTGGCTGGGCTGGGGGATAAATCCCCACTCGTTGGAGATGTCCGGTACCAGCGCTCTCATCGCCTTCCAGAGCTCGCAAGGAGCACAGCTCCACAGCTACTCGGTCTCCAGGCAAGTCAAGGACGACGATATCTCTCTCAGCCCCCAAGAACAGACCGAAGTTCCATTCCAGAACCAGTCCGTGACCATGGAAGGAACCGTCGTCACCATCTTTGCAACCATCCCTCTGACCAACAGCAGCAGCACCACGATGAACCACGTCTGGAACTTTGGCGACCAGGTTCTCGGCGATTCTCCGCAGTCCCACGACTTCAAAAAGGCCAACTTGGTGTCGCTCAGGAGGATCGATATGTCGAAGAAGGACTCCGTGGCCCAGCCCCTGGTTTCCAAGCTCACTCCGAGGCAGAGGCTCAAGAACACCCATGCGCTGCTGAGTGGAGCTGCCTGGGGGATCGCCATCCCGGTCGGAGTGATGGCAGCTCGGTATCTTCGCCCGTTCACGTCACCTAGCGGAGCTTGGTTCTATCTCCACCTGATGATCCAGATCCCGGCCTACGGAGTCGGGGTGGCTGGCTGGGTTCTCGGACTAAAGCTCGAATCGGGGTCCGGGAACGTCTACGAAACGCACCGGAACATCGGATACGCCATCTTTGCCGGAGGAACGCTGCAAGTCATAGCTTTGCTGGTGAGGCCCAAGCCATACGAAAAGATCCGCTTCTTGTGGAACATATACCACCAATCGATCGGCTATACGACGCTTGTGCTCGGTGTGGTGAACGTTTTCATCGGCCTCAGCATCCTCGAGCCGGCAGCGAAATTTAAGACGGCTTTCATCGCAGTGGTGATTTCTCTGGGAGCTGTGAGCCTGGTAATGGAGGTTGTGACCTGGATCATATACTTTCAACGTAAGTACCTCGTGAGAAGAGCTGCTGCTGAACGGAGAGCGAGAGCGAAGGCAGCTCAAGCGAGCAATGCGCGAGCAAGGACGAGAAGGTTTTGGAGATTTTGAGACTGCCAAGAAGGAAAATACAAAAAAACTCATTATGTTGATTGTGAGATGTCTGTCATACCTGAATGCAGTTCGGTCATCCTAGTGATGCACTAAAGTTGAGAAGAAATTAGTATCCAGATTCAAGTGGAGACTAAAAACTGAAGAAAGTCACGAGTACTCCCTCACAAAAGATAGAATGACGCAGCAGCAGAGCTCAGAAAACGACCATCTTTTTTCCACCTCGACTGAGGAGCAGTAGCGGCAGCAACAAAAATCTGGACAGATTCCATTGAGAGCGACCAACACTTCGATTCAAAACCTTACCCGACCGCTCTGGGCTGCAGCGGACACGATTACATGCTTGCTTCCTGCCAAGTACTCGTACAGATAGTATACTCTGCAGTGGCACCAGTCAGTGTTACAAAAAAATAAAAAAATATCCACGATGGAATACAAAACCTTTGAGCTTCGGAGGTCACGGACGAGGCGGCAGTGAGCCTTGCACCGACTGTAAACAAACAAAAGAAATGACAAACGATCAACAAAGCGGAGAAACAAACAGAGAAACTTGCAGTGACCGACCAGGAAGAAATAGCTTCGCAATGTCGTCAACTTTCCCAAGGTCCGTGATGCTCTTAGCCTACACCAAAAGGAACTATTGCTATCACACCTTAGCAGCAGTGGTAACACAAAACCCCAGTATTCGTTACCTCGAAAAATGTAGCCTTGAGCTGCGAAGCCCGACGAATTACCACGCTCACAAACTCTTCCCTGATTGAGAACCAAACAGGAATGAAAAGAAAAACTAAAAACGAAAGATTTCCAAGAAAGAAGTAGTGAACAAACCCGTCACGAGAAGCAAAACGCGCTGCAAAAACCTTGGGCTTTGCACGATTGCCATACAAAGGAACTTCTCCTATAGGAAACTCCTGCCATTCTCGTAGCAGCATAGCAGCATGTTAGAACTAGAATTCTTTTTCCAGCAAACTCCAAACTTACATCGGGTTCCAGAGTATCTTCGAAACCTGGAGGAATTTTCACGCCAAATCCATCCCCTTGGTACTCGTCCCAAGAATTTGGATCATTCTTCTCTGTCAAACCAGTAGAATTTTCATTGTTTCCTCGTTTTTTTCCTTCTAGAATGCCAGAAGAAAGGCTAGCTACTCTACTTACTTGGGATGTTTAGCTCCTCTTGCTCCAACGCAGCTGCTGGCATTGGCATTTGCATCCAGAGACTCGGCAACAACACGAGCTGGACTCCAAATCCTCGGCGTGAAAGTCTCACGGATTGCGCGGCGTGATGAGGAGAATGCACAGACATCGGACACACACAGGGATCCCGCTTCGTGTCCCGGCAGAGAAATCCGCTGGGCGTGAGAGCGATGATAGTGCCCATTCTCGCATAAACCCTAAATTTGTTTATCCACTTCTTTAGGTAGCCGGATGTCGATGAGGCGCGGTGGCTCGGCCGTGCGGCCGGTCGGCACCGATGGATCGGATTTCTCCTATCGCATGACCGTGGACGACAGTAAGTAGCAGCAGCGAGCGCTGGATCTCTTTCTTGCTTCGATCTCATGGCGCAATCTCATCGATCGATCGATTTTTCACTGTAGAGTACCGGAGAGCTGCGCATGCTCGTATGCATTTGCGGAGATTTGTGGCCATCCAGGTGAAAAAGAAGCTCCATTGTTCTTTCTCGAGAGAGATTTCTCTGGTTTCTTCTAATGTATTTTTTCGTTGATCCAGACAGCGTTTGTGTTGTTCAAGGCTCTATGGTCGACTCTCATGACTCTCAATGGCGAGCCGCTTGAAATGACCACCGTGTGTGCGTGTATCTTTGGGGGAGCTTCTGTCCTCGTTGGAACGCTCGGTAAGAACTTCTCTTCGGACTTCTTTCTCTCTCTCTCTCTCTCTCTTTTCTTGTTTTGATCGTGGTTGCTTTGGTAGCTCTGAAAACTGGTGCTTCGCCCCATTTGCTCAAGCTCTACTTGCTCCTCACGGGGACTTCCATCTCGCTCTCGCTGCTCCCGATCATCTCTGGCCGTTTCTTCGCAGAGGTTTGGATTTCATTAGATTTGCCTAATACCAAGCTCGACGTGAAAAATCCTTCTTGTCTGCTAGCAGTGGTCGGACGAGTGGCAGAAGAGCAGCAAGGAAAACAGGAACAAAGTCATCCTCGTTAGCCTCGAAGCCGTCCAAGAAGCCATTGGTCTGTTTGTTTATTCTTTCGCCCCTGTCGTTCCTCCGTATCGACTGACTGAAAAAATCTTTCTTTCCTGTGTTTCAGGGATTTTGGTCCAGCTTCTGTCCGTCTCGAAAGCGCTCTCGTTATCCAACAGCATTGCTCGCAAGAAATAAGAAGTAAAGTTCCTTTCTTTCCTCAACCATATCCGGCTCCATGTCAGCTATTCTTAGAGCAGCGACGGCGATGGCTCCACACAGTTAGGGTTCTTCTCTTGCTGCTCGCCAGCGCCATGCCGCTCCGCCGCAACAGGTCCGACGAGAAAGACGTCCTCGACAACGTCCATGACAACATCCACATCGACCCGCTCGCGCAGGACTTCATCGACACGGTGGAGTTCCAGCGCCTGCGCGATGTGAAGCAGCTGGGCCTGTGCAACCTCGTCTACCCCGGCGCGACCCACTCGCGGCTCGAGCACTCGCTCGGCGTCTACAACTTCGCGCGCGCCACCGTCTTCAACCTGGACAGCTGCTGGCCCGAGCTGGAGCTGGAGCAGTCGGACCTCACGTCCGTGGGGCTGGCGGGTCTTCTCCACGACGTCGGCCACGGCCCCTTCAGCCACGTCTTCGAGAACGAGTTCCTGCCCAGGATCGGCGCCGGCCTGCTCAAGTGGCACCACGAGGCCATGTCCGGAAAGATGGTGGACTTCATCGTGGACAGGAACTACATCGACGTGGACGCCGGGGTGCTCAAGCGCGTCAAGGACATGATCCTGTGCAGCTCGGAGCGCGGCGCGCCGCAGGGCGACAAGGCCTTCCTCTACGACATCGTCGCCAACGGGCGCAACGGCATCGACGTGGACAAGTTCGACTATATCCTCCGCGACACCCGCGCCTGCGGCCTGGAGCCCGGGACGTTCAAGGTTTGCCGGCTCATGGACAGCATGCGGGTGATCGACAACGAGATTTGCTTCCGCTCCAACGTCGCCGCCACCATCTGCGAGCTGTTTGTGACGAGGGGGAACCTCTTCCGGGAGGTTTACACGCATCCCAAGGTGAAGGCCATGGAGCTGATGCTGGCGGACGCGCTGGTGATGGCGGACGGCTTCCTGGGCATCTCCGGGATGGTGGACGACCCGGCCAGCTTCTGGAAGCTGGACGACTCGTTACTCAAGGCGATCGAGACGTCGGACGAGCCGGAGCTGGAGGCGTCGAGGAAGCTGGTGTGGAGGATGCGGCGGCGGGGGCGAGAGCTGTACCAGTTTTGCGACAGCCTCAAGGTCCCGGCGGAGCACGCCGAGAGGTTTAGTGCTGTGACGGCCGAGGACATCCTCTGCTACGCCAAGGGTGGCGTTCTCCAGAGGGACGACATCGTGGTGAGCAACGTCAAGATTGACGATGCTTGCGGGAAGAGCGATCTCCTGGAGGGCGTGCACTTCTTCAAAGGCTATGGCAGCACGGAGAAGCTGGAGCTCAAGGCAGAGGAGGTGGGGAGGAGTTATGCTGGGCACGACGTGCCGCAGAGGATCGTCCGGGTGTACGTGAAGAAGTATGAGCATCTGGAGGCGGCGTGCGATGCGTTCCAGGCGTTCCAGCGCGAGAGGTATAACGTCCAGAGCCAGATGCTCAGGACGCCTGATAGCAAGAGGAAGAGGAAGACGAGGAGAGTAAGCTAAAACCGAAGTGGTACTCAAACATTTTTCTCATTCTTTTTTCCTATTACTTTGAAAGGTTGGACCAAACTAGAAAAATAAGATAAAATAATTTTTAAGCATATTCTATGGTTCAAATTTTTAATTATAGCATTATCCATAACCTATTTTAAATCTAAAATGTTTTCATATTGGCTAAATCACACCACATCAAGCATGTGTTGTCAATCCTATTGTTGAATGCAAGTGCCCAAGACATTAGTGGAATGATTGATTTACAGGTTCTTTGATGATATGTCCCCATTTTTCTGCAAAGCAGTTTGTTGAGTCTCAAGAGTGTGTAGAAAAAGCTGGAAAGTGGACTCCCTTTCCCATTCTAGTGAGGAACTTGCTAAACTAAAACCTTTCACCCAGCTATTCATTCATGTAAGATTGTCGCTACGTGATAGGGGCTGGATGCCTACTATGTTAGACACCTTTGTAGCAAAGGTGGCAAATGCGAAGCTTTTAGAAAGGAGTTTATCAATGTATGATACTTGCAAAAGAATCATTAAGAGACACAATGAGTTCATTAGAGATTCTTGAAAGCACACAGCAAAAAAATGTTTAACATTGTGCAAGGGCTAGAGAGGTCATTAAGTCGACAGGTTTATACCCACTTGAGCTCTATCAACTCAAAGTGTGTTTGGACCTATTTCACCGGCCAAAAGTTGTCACAGTAACTGTTGCAAAAGAAGAACAGTTAAAAAAATGAGAGTGACAAAATTTTGGAAAGCCCCTTTTTATCTCTAGAATCCTGCGAGATTATAGACAAGGCAAAGCTTGGATAGATCACCTTTCAGCCTGCTCCTATCATCATCCACAACTCCAAAAGGAATGGACCTGCGTTGCTCCCATACTCAGGATAGACACAAGAATGACTAGCGTGCCATGGCTCACTTCCTGCCACAGCCATGCCCATTGATCAAAGCATGCTATATATCTTCTTTTCCACTTCCACACATAAGTTCCAAGCTTTTGGGATCCATAGCTATCCTGGATGAACTTTTCTTTAAAGAAGAATGTTTGGCAGGTACTGGCAAGATCACAAGTTTTTGGTTTCCTCTTCTTCAGGTACTTGCATTTTGGATTAGCTCGATTATGGACCTAACTCTAAAGGATTCCCTGCCGTGCTATTTCCTCCCCTGCTCCAGTCTTATATCTGCTAGTGCCTCATGTGGCCTTCCATGCTTCATTTATTTTCAGTTATTCAGTATTTTTTATTAATTCAATTGATCAATAAAAAATAATATTATAAATATACTATTAGATTAATCTTATTGGTAGAATAAAATAGAATATATTAAGAAAAGTTTAGGAAAATTTATAAATTATAAAAACAAGATTAATCAAAGTGAATAACAACCATTAGATGGTAGAATATCTCAAAATATTTAAGAACATTTTAGATATAACTATAATTATAATTAAAAAAGCTCTAAATTTATTTATTAAAGAGAGTTGTTGGATTTACACTAGATGTGATGCAAATGTTCATCAATCTAGACTTCCTAGAAAATTAAATAAACTCATAAACACTTCAATTCCACTTTTTAAATACCCTTAATTGATTGAAAATAAATATTTTAATTTGGAATTTTATCTTTTTAATTGTTTACTATTTTCCATTTATTTGATCATTTGAATTTCAAAAGGTGATAAAAATAAAACATATTATTTTATTGAAAAATTTATTTTAATTTATATATTTATTTAGTTTTTAACTCAAAGGTAACTATATAGATGTTCTTTTAACAATGGCATTGTTGAGTGAAATTTATGATTTTAGCATAAATTATTTAAATAATATAAACTCTATAATATTATAAATACATAGATATATAATTTTCTTATTCCAACCTTGATTAAATTATTGGTTAAACTGCTATTTATATTTATAATTAAAAAATAACTATATTTTTTTATAAAAATGCTAGTTGAAAAAATAATTAGCCACACATAATCTATATCTTTTGTTACAAAACTTTGTTTACTGTATTTACTTAATTATAGTATTTTACTTAAGTTATTAAAAATATAAATGTGTAAAAATAAAAAAAAATTATCTCATATGAATTTTATCATTTAAATTTTATACTTTTATTTTTTTTTCTTATTAAAAATCCTCTTAAACATTATTTTATAAAACATAAACTATATGTGTAATATTTCAAACAAGTACAAGAGATTTATATTATTGAATAAAAATTATAAATAATTATATAAATTTTAAGGAAAAAAATTATTGAATATAATTTTCTTAACACAATTTATTTGTATAGAGAGAAACTTGTATATTTGTCAATTTCTAGATAAACATATTAAATTGAACATAATTTATACTTTTAACGTATGAGATATAGAAAAAAAATAGAAAATTTACTAGGTAATTAGTAAAACTACCTTATGTAAATTTTGACAAAATTAACTACTTATATCTGAAAAGAAATTATTATCCAAGAAAAAACAAAAACGAAAAACCAAAAAATTTCTAATTGATTAGAACCCATCTTATTTATTTGTTTTAATTGATAGAAAAAAACTCTCACAGTGCTGTAACTTAAAAGTCGACCCAGAAATGCCACAATAGTTTATTGAGGACCTTGATGACCTTGGGTAGGGAATATAATCCCAGCTTCCGTATCCACTTGATTCAGCAAGCTGGAGCAGCGTTGCATGACGGGCCCTCTGTTGGAGGGATCCTGCCGATTCAGACCAAGTGCAACCAGTATCTTGCGCTCTAGCTCCGTGTCTGAAAAGCTCTTTACAACCAAAAACAGCCGCAAACAGGCACGCTTGCTTACACTCTGCGTCCGGCTTCTCCGAGAACGTTGAATGCAGTGCGTTCCCAACGTTGTCCAGAATAGCAGACGTTGTCATCGACGATTCTACGCACACAATCGCCGCAATAGCATCTGCTCTGGTAACCTGTCGCCGGTACATAAGCTTCGCATGCGCTGCAACACCGTTATCGCATCCTTCATCATCCCTGATCAACTTGGTATTTACCTTGTGCGAGCCTTATCAGGCTTTCCAACATCCTTATGGTCGTCCTTGCTAGCAACAAAATCATAGCCTGAGCATGCTCCTTCTGAAGATGAAGGTAACAGCACCTGCATTCTGAGCGCCTGCTCTCCGCTGGAGCTGATAGTAACTGATGATGATCTTCTCGGCTTCGGCCGTAAGAACAGGACGAATGTGGTCCCTCACATAAAGAATGTACCTGCTAATGAATTTGTTTCAGCAGACCAACAGGAAATGTATTACCTCCTCAGCATTGCCAGTGTCCAAAAACCCGTGAGATTGCTGACACAGTTCACCGATTTTTGCTTCATATGCTGTGGACACGGATTACTCACGGCCTAGGCTAAAGAAAAACAATCTAAGGGCCACAAACCTCGGATAAAATGTGAGAAGAGACAATGGTGTCCCACTCTGGGTTTTTAGTATCAAGAAGCACCAAAACGATGTCAAAACGACTCAAGAGTGGCCCAGACAAGGTGGTGTTCACGGAAAGAGCTGAAAATGGATTGTCCATAAGCGTTAGTTTCATGGTCTAGAGAAAAACATACGCTGCAGAGGGTCATATTGGCCCTTAGGATTGGTTACACCGAAAACAGTCGTCCTTGTGTTAAGCGTTGTCACGAGCCCAGCCTATATGCAACTCATTAACACTTCTTCGATGGAAATAATCACTCTCTGACCTTTGCAACACTGAGTGTCTGTTGTTCCATAGCTTCATGAATTGTGGCTCTGTCTGCTTCTCGAATGCTGCTGATTGAAATTTCGGCACTCGTAAATACGCACGCCAAGATCAAACCTGTCAAATTCGTCAATGCAACATAGTCCACCGTCCGCTAAAACCAGTGCCCCAGCTTCGAGCATCCATTCTCCTGTTTGAGAAACGTGAGTATCACATTGCTCTTAGCAAGAAAAATCACCTCCATCTTTAACTGCTGTTACCGTAAGCCCTGCACTGGTGCTTCCTAGACCGGTTGTCACAACCGAGCGATGACTCAATCTAGCTGCATATTTTAGAAACTGAGACTTCCCAGTGCCTAAAATATTAGAAGACTGTAAGCAGAAAAAAGAAACTCATGAACTCAACGTACCCGGGTCTCCAACAAGAAGCAAGTGTGATTCTCCTCGTATACGAGTTCCAGAAGAATCTACACGCTGAACTCCACCAACCAACGTCAAGGCAACTGCCGAAGACGAACATTTACAAAGTTTTCTTCGTAAGTAAGAATGCACATAGATACCCGCTAGCTTTACGGTGAAGAGCCCATACACCTGAGGACATATGCTCTGTAGTATGGCATTTCTTCCTACAAAAACCAAAGTAATGAGGAAGTCGCTGGAAGATATTCAAACCTTTGAATGGCGCTCTCTCGAATTCCTTCCAGAATTGCTCAAATTGGTGGATAACATCTTCAGGTACGTCGACTGCCGCCTTCAAGTCATTTGCTTTCCTGCCAGCAATAAGCTCTAAGAAGGTTAGAGGTAGCAAAAGCAGCTTCGTACCGCACATAGTGGACCCTGAGCATTATTTCAATATCGCAACGGGCATCTTTACAGCTTCGCCGCCATCGGGAGAAAAGTTCCCCAGTTGCAACAACGTCATCTGCATGAAAAACTTAATATGATGGTATATGACTGTGTCCATACCTCCGGCCTGGACAGTGTCTACGAGATCATCCTGTAAAATAGCAACAATAGACCGTGGAACAGAGCCGACACCAAGCGTTTGCAGATTCTCTTGCATTTTGATCTCCTGATAGTCATGGGAAACTTTCGAGTCCTCTATGCAACGGAAGGTTGAACCAGTACATGGCTTTGTTCTCTGTGACTTACATGTAAGCGATTATGAATCGAAGGTCTGACCATTCACCTGAGAGGGGCACCTTCGTGGCAGCTCAACGCCGCTGCCAGTTTCCAGCTCCGGGAACAACTTAAAACTGAAAACAACAAGATCATAAGTCACGGCCCGCTAGAAGGTCGACAAAAACCTGTGCTTGCACTTTGTGCACTCGTACTCGCGCTCTCCCTCGAGAATCTTGACGCCACCTGAACGGATTATTGTTCCTTTCAGAGTTACAAGTTTTCCAAGATGCTTCACTCTGATGCGTCCAATGCTTGGATTTACTTCTGTGGAAAAACAAAGTTAGATTTCTCCAGTAGCAATCAGCTTTAGAGATCTTGCAGTACCTGGACGTTCCAAAGCGGAACCCTGTACCACCAAGCGTACATGAACGCGCTTCATCACTTTGTTGCCTTTGTCCAGTTTTTGCTGCAAAGTGGAAGCTGTTAGCCGTGTGATCGCTGAGTGTCTGTCACAGGCTTTACCAATACTGCTAATGCTGCTGCGTCGAATAGAGGCAAAACCTTTCCTGGTTGAAAGTAGAGCTCATGAGAAAGCTTGGGATGGGCTTCCAGAAGTTCCGCAAAGCTGAGTAACAAAGGGGAAAAAAATGAGAATGGGCTCAAACACGATGTCGCAAACCACTGAACTCGACATGGACTGAGTAGTGCTTGGATTCGTCCTCGAGGAGCAAGATCCTCTCCAGCTCCGACAAGTGATTCTCCTCTAGGAAGCTTTCAAACGCCTCCACATAATCGGCGTCGTGGATGACCGGCTCCTGCTCGCCCCCATTTCCCATCGAAATCGATCGATATTCTACCTTAGGGAGCGATAGAAGGTCAGCTCGCGCTCGCACCGATCGCCAAGGGCTCTCCCGCCAAGACGAACCAAAAATTGCGAACTTTAGGGTTCTTGAGTGGAGCGCGCTACCCTAGGCTAGACGGCAGGGAGAGATTCCACGGCCTGCTCGGTATGTTAATAATCTTCCAAGCGGCAAGACGACGATCAATCATCAATTCCGTCTGTGAATCCTCGCTCTGGAAGTCCAGCCGCCTCGATGGCAGATTTGCGATTCGATCGTCATCGAGCTCGGCCGCCGCTAGCAACATCGATGCCGCCACCGCTAGCAGCAGCGGCGGCGGTAAGCAGGGGTCCAAAGTCAGGAAGAAAGCGGAGATTTTCTCGAGCGATCTCGGAAAGAAGCCCAAGATCCATCTCAAGCCAAGCCTTTTGTCCAAGAAATCTGGCCAGGAGGCCCCAGCGGCAGTGGCAAGGAAGAAGAAATCTCCGGAATTCTCCACGGCCGTCCAGGTGGAGCTAGAGAGCGCGGCGGCGGCTTCCAGAGCTCTCCCAGTGGAGATCGAAGTAAAGCCATTCTCCTCCAAAGAAGAGCCATCGCCATACGACTCGGAGGATTTGCAGCAGCACCTCCGCCTGGAGCTCCCGGAGGCCGTGATCTCGGCGGAGGCCCTGTTCCTGGCCAGGAGCGTCGACCTCAAGTCCCTGGCGGCGCTGGAGCCGCCGTCGCTGGGCGTGGTGCTGCCGTGCCGCAACCACGTCGTGATCAAGCTCCACGACGCCGACTCCATGGCCCGCGAGGACTACTCGCCCATGCCCGGCTGCCTGAGCAACAACAAGGTGGCGGTGGTGTTCCAGTACGGCTCGGTGGTGCTCTTCAACTTCCACGACCTCTCGCCCGACACCAATCCCATCCTCGCCGCGGTGAAGCGCCACAGCCGCGAGTTCGTGGGCGATCCCCGGAAGGACAACTACCGGGTGGTGGTGATCCCGGGGCTGGACCGCTGGAGCCAGGGGGGCTCGGACAAGATCATGGTGAAGAAGCTGGACATGGACGGCGTCCGGATCATCTCGCTGGTGCTGGGGCAGAGCATCGCGCTGGATCACTACACGCGCAGCATCGACGAGATGCTCAACACATTCGGCGAGCTCAACCGGCATATGGAGCTCACGGGGACGTTCAACATGCAGCGCAAGGCGCTGTTCAAGCTGGTGGCGGCGGCCAACGCGGCGCTGGCGGACGCCATCCTCCGCCTGGGGCTGCTGGAGCGGTCGGACGCGGCGTGGCAGAGCGCGCGGTACGATCGCATCTGGGAGCACATGAGGGGCGACTTCGAGCTGGACGACCGCTTCGAGAGCCTCGAGTTTAAGATCGGGATCATCCAGCACAACGTCAAGTTCTTCCTGGACATCCTCCAGAACCGCAAGTCGGACACGCTCGAGTGGATCATCATCTTCCTCATCGCCGGGGAGATTTGTGTGGGCGTCTACGACATTTTGAACGGGGCAGGAGCGATCTAGAGCTTTTTTTTGGAAAGAAAAATAAAAACCCATCGGACGTTCGTTTCGTTCTGGAATATGCCCTCTCAGACTTTCAAGGCTAAGAGAGCTACCCACGATAGAATTGCCAGCTCAGGTCCCATAGTCTAGTGGTTACGACATTGGACTTTGAATCCAAGAGCCCGAGTTCGAATCTCGGTGGGACCTTAATTTCATAAGCTTTTTAAAAACTTAATTTCCATTAAGCAAAATGCCTTTTCTAATCCCTTTTTGCATTCATGCTTTTTGTTACCCCTTTAAAGTTTACACTCGGGGTTATCGATCACAGTTATGTTCGACTCCAAGTCCACAAAGGCATTCCAGAATTGGCGATTACATCTGGTCCGGAATCTCCATTGTTGCCGCAGGACGCATTCGTCCGAGCACAGCACCGCTTCTGAACTGATTTCATTGACAAGAGGGTATATATTCTCGAGAAATCTACTCGATCTTCACTGGACTGCTAATAATGGATAGTAAATTTTATTATTTTTATATTTGATTTTTACTTTTTTACTAATGTTGGATAAGAATTTAAATTTTCTTAATTTGAAGCCCACAAGTAGCAGTGTCAAGAAGTTCAAAACGTTTCTCATGCCTAACTTAAAGTAGCTTTACATTGATCAGTGTGGATTCCCATCATCGAGTTTGATGCTTGCCCAAGCACTTCATTCTCCATGGCAGGAAGATGAGGGCAAGCAGGACATTTACAGTTTACTTCGAATGCCAGAGCAGATTTGATCGTGATAAGAGATATGCCCTTGCAGGGATCCTGAGAATGCGAGGATTCCATGTCAGCGCAAGAATATTCATATCATGATTCAGATAGATAGTTTTTACCAGGTAGAGACTAAAATTTTGACACACATATAGTTACCAGATTGACATATAGCTCATCAAATGAAGGCTATAGGGTTCTTGCGCAGTCGAATCCTAATGCAATCAATCGCCTGTTTCCTAACATAAAGAGTGTATTAGTGGACAGCCAAGCCATGGAGGCGAGACATATGATGGTCTCACACCATGGAACCGGAGGCTACTCACTAGCTACCAAACGGGATGCCACAGATAGTAGAGCTGAGCCTTTGGCTGAAACCACAAATCCCACGCAAGATGAGACTCTGCCCAACTTGCTTCGAGCCAGTGGACGTCGAACATATGATCAACGATTGCTTCATGTACGCCAATCTTTGCCATGCTCCGGTTCCGTGGGGCGCTGATCTCCATGTCATCCTCACACACAAATGGTGGCAATTTTCTGATGAGATGGAGCTCAGCCACCAGAAGGTGATAGAAGAACTAATGCTCGCCAACACAACCCACCGGCTGCTACCCCACATAAGGGAGGGACCAAGAGTGATAAGGAAATCAATTTTCACACATTGTGGTCTTGTTGCAATGTTACTAATAATCATAATATAAGCATTTCAAACAACATTTGAAGCAAGTCCACTCCATTAAGATTGTATATATTTGTATTAATCATTCTTCATGATCAATAGTATGGAGCAAACATCTCTTCAGCTTTCTGAACAAACTTGTTCTTGGAAGTGATGGATTTGTGCTTAGCAATGTTATGGCTGAAACTAGCTGTCAGTTTGCAATCACCACATTGGGTAGAATCAAACATGCATTCAGCACCACAAACTGCAATCTTCTTAGTTTTGGGTGTGAGTTGATTTATAATACTGTCCCTTGGTTTAAATTTTCGCATATTGAATTCTACAAGCCAGTCAATGAAAATCAATGTAACGTCAGGGGTCAAGTCAACAAGTAATACCTCCAGAAATGCCATTCGTGTTACTTTCATGTATTGCATATCGACGACAATCAGACCATGCAAAAAGTTTAATACGGTAGACCTGAAACAAGAAGTTCAATAAAAAGAAAAATCCCTTGGAAGCTATTTTACTAACCTTGAAGTAGGGGTGCTCTATATCAGGATACCTAAGCACTCCTATCTCAAGCATGGTTTTCTCATGGTATTCATGCTGGTAGAATAAATTTATAATGTTCTCAATGTTTGTACCCGTATGAGCAACAATTCTACCCATAATGTTGATGTCAATGCGTGTGGAGTTGAGGATATCAGCATCTGCGATCAGTCCTGTGAACCAACTCTTGACCTGTAGACACGAAGATATAAATACTTATGAAACTCGAACATAGAACATTTACCTCGTTCATCACAGTTTGCCTAGGTGATCCATCAGTGTTGAGCCAGTAAGTGTCATCCTTTGTATATTTAGTAGCTCTTGTAGTAGGATCATCAAACGGCTCAAGCACAGGGTTTTGCAGGAAGAGTGATTGAACTTTATCCCATGTACGTTCATCATGTGATAGCTTGCCAAGTTGCACATGAACTCCTGCTATCATGACCTTTAGATGGTCATCCATGAATTTGACTTCATCCGTGCTGAGTGTCCCATATGCAGGAGCCAATCCGATGTTAAGATAATCCTGGACATTCGAGTCGACAATGTTGACCTGGCATATATGACCATTAGTCAAATGCTAACTAAAACTGAATGCATCACCTTGCTGAAGTCAAAATGCTGGATGATATCGCCAATTGGGCTTAACCCACCAAAGATACTAGCAATTGTAGGGATCAGCTGAAGTTGGGCATTTGCGCTCAAGATAAAGCTTATAACTGCAAGAAGAACTGGGATGAGCTTACCCATGATCTTTTGCCAAATTATATCCAGCAACCTAAGTATTTATAAGACAAGCATACCTTAGTGGTAGTACTATTAGTAGTGACTCAAATTGTTCAAATTCTCCAACAACCTGAATGGACAAAATAATTATTCCCAACATAGAGCTACAGTAATGGTATAACTTTAATGGACAAAATAGTTATTCCCAACATAGAGCCACACTAATAGTGGTTCTTGTGAAAATGAAGAAAGTCAAGGAAGATTACCAAGAAAATATTCTAAATTCATAGAGCAAAATTACTCCGTTTTGGTGTGTCCCTCCGGGCTGACAGTCACCTGAAGCGCTAAGAAATGCATCACCCCTTTCTCGTCAACCCACGCGATAACCCCGTCAGATCAGTTGTTTTATTTATTTACTGGCTTCATTAAGAAATCTAAACAACTGCAGTTTGGGAGAAGGCACCAGCTGCAACCACCGCATAACACAATAACATGTTGTCATATATGAAGTCACTAATCATAAAGTTTCTTAAATTGTCCATTAAAAATTAAGTTGAACAAAAACAATCAAACAATATTTCCAGAATTTATAGTAAAATTTATTTCATTTGTTAAGAGTTTATGCATATTATACAGAGTTTTCAAATTGTGAACATGGATTTGGCTTCATTAGCAGCCTTTGCCTGAATTTCCTTCTTCATCCCAGATATGACGCTTGTTCTCGGTTTAAACTCACGGTAGTAAAACTCTGCGCAACATAAACAACTCAATAGAGCCAAAGAGAATGAATAAACTACATGGTTACCTCCAGTAATGCCATTAGTTGCCTTCTCCACGCCTAAGACGAGCGTGCTATCAGCCCAAACAGTCAGCTGTAGATGGTACAACTATATCACAAAATGAAAGAAAAAGCGTTAATGATAATGTTGTGTCAAGTTTCCTGCTAACCTTAAAGAGCTTATCTATGGAGTCTGGATATCTCAGCACTCCAATATCAACCATGGTCTTTTCATGATACTGGTGCTTGTAGATTGTTAAGAACTTCGGAACTTCAGAGCCTGCATATGCCACAATCTGAGGGAGAGCATCAGATTGAATCCTGGTGGAGGCAAGGACGTCATTGTCCTGGATAAGTTTCTCAAAGAACCATGTCTTCAGCTGTTCAAAGGGAAGAACAATTATATATTACAATTCATATGAGACAAGGATTGAACTGTTCTTTACCTCCTGGAAAACTTCAGGTCGCAGAGATTTATCAAACTGTAAGTAGTTTGTGTCGTCTCTTATATACTTGTCAGACCTTCTGATTCCTGCATCTACTGCCTCAAGGAACGGATTCTGCGACATGACCGACTCTACTTTGCTCCATGTACGTGCTGTGCCATCCAACTTCGAAATCACCCTGTTTGTTCCAGCAATAGCGATTAACAGATTAGTGTCCAGACTCTTGATGGTTTCTGCATTCAGATCGCCAAAAGCTGGAGCTAAGCCAACGGATAGGGAGTCTTGACCAGAAGAATCAGTCTGCAAAGGTTAAATTCAGTAAAAGACTTGGATCTAAACGACAACCTGGGCGAAATTAAACTTCGACACAATATCTCCAATTTGATCAAAGGAACCGAAGATACTTTTGATGGTCGGAGCAGTCGCTTGAGCATTCACACAAAGGATAGCAGTAAGCAAAATAAAAAACGAGGACATTGCAACTGCCTTCATCTTGCAAACCGCACTCATTCTCAACAAACTTGCATCAGTTAAATACACATGTCCAATTTGCTAAGGGATATCGTTCAAATCCCCCTGGTGGTACCGCCACTTGCGAGCATATTAACACTTTCTAAGTGCGGAATTTTAAACGATAACCAAATCATTCACCCAACAGCAACACAAGGAATGGAAACATCACATCAAAGTTTGAGAATCTGAAGAACAATAACAATCACCAGAAGAAAGAAAATACTTTCACAATGCACTCGGTTTCAGCATTTTTACAAAGTCGCAGGAAATGCTGGTTCAGCTGGACCTTTTTCTTTCCTTGAAGTGAGTGCTCTGTAACTTTGGATACACCCCCGAACGAATATAAAACATAACACCCGAGGACTGAACTATCCTTTCATCGGAATCAACACGCTAAATGGCAGCAAAACAGTGGCAAGCACCGTGACCAAGTGACCAACGAGTGAGTGCCTGTAAAATTTGCAGCTTACCCGGTGCAAAACTCGCAATGTACAAGGTCTGCTGGAGCATATTCTGTAAGGAAGTGGACATATTTGGCCAGTAGGGAGTGGCGTCCTCAGCCAAAGCTGTTGATTCAGGACTTGTATACTCTGGACTATTGATCTTATACTGTTTCGGTTGTGTGGTTTTGTGTCATGGTTTCTGGTGGATCTTATTTTCTTATGAGTTCGCCCTCGATCAATATCTAGTGAAAAAAAAGAGCGCGTGATCCGTTCACTCTTATTTTTCTATGAATTCGCCCTCGATTAATATCTAGCGAAAAAAAAAAGAGCGCGTGATCCCTTCACTGGCGAGAGCTGGAGCTGTAGCGATGCTCGGTTACCCGCCTGACGCGATGTGCCCCGCATTATCAGCCACGTCATCACCCCCCTCCGAGGATAACACCATGCTGACTCCCACCTTGAAGCGGGCGCGCTCATATCAACAAGTCTCTCGCAAGGCTTTATATATCACGATAAAGCAATGAAGCTTGGGCATGTGGGATAGGGCACTCTAGTTAGGGCCGCAGTATATTCTTTGTTCGAGTATAACATAAAGAAAAAGGAGTGCTTGTCAGGAATGGGATTCGAACCCATGCCCTTGCGGACTAGTACCTGAAACTAGCGCCTTAGACCAACTCGGCCATCCTGACCACGTTGTGAAAACAAGAAAAGCCCTCTACTCATACTGATAACTCTCAAATCGCAAAGCAGGGTTCTTTTTAGGGCTTATACACCCTCCAGTGAGAGAGAGATCCACCAATTCGATAGATCGATTCCGTGGCGTGGTGCGCAGGCGAAACAAGGTATGTTGTCTGGCAGGCAGTCGCTGCTGCGATCAGCGGCGCCGCTGTGGCGCTGCGCCACCAGCAGCGGCGGCATCCGGCGGCGATGCTACGCCGAGGAGGCGAAAAAAGACACGCCCACCAACAAGGCAGTGGAGGCATTCAAAGAAATGTGGTCTAAGGTGGCTCCCAACCTCGACTTCCCCAAGACGCCCCACGAATCTATGGCGTCGCGGCCCCCTGTGCCCCCAGCCATCCCCGAAAAGCTCACCGTGAACTTCGTCTTGCCTTCCGAGGTAGCCATGAACGCCGAGAAGGTACAAAAAGAATTTTTTCCTCTCTTTTTGTGCTGCTTCCTTCGCATGCGAGTATCTTGCTTGAGCTCCATTCCATGGCTTCTTCCAGATTTTAAGCTTTTCTCCTTACTTTTGCTTTCGTTTGTAGTTGTAAGCTCGTCCAGTTCCTGGATGCTTTGCTTGGATGCTTTCGCTAGCTTTCTCTTTCGAGCTCGGTGCTAACTTTTCTTGGTGTAGTGAGAGCTTTTATCCAAGTTTTCAAATCTTTGACTTGGTTTTCTCAGGTGGATATGGTGATCCTGCCAGCGACGAGCGGTCTCATGGGTGTGCTGCCCGGTCACGTCCCCACCATAGCCGAGCTCAAGCCGGGCGTTCTGTCCGTCCACGATGGCGGCCAGGTAAAGACGCAGTACTTCCTCAGCAGCGGCTTTGCCTTTGTCCACGCGAACTCGGTCACCGATATCGTCGTCGTCGAGGCTGCGCCGCTCGACCGGTTTGATCCCGACGAAGTAAGGAAGAACCTCGCGGATTACAACCAAAAGCTGAGCTCCGCCACCACGGACCTTGACAAGGCTCAGGCACAGATTGGAGTGGACGTTTTCGGATCGCTGGCTTTCGCGCTGGGCGTCACGGCTTGAGGAGAGCTCTTGGTTACCGCTGGTGCCGGGTTTTGGTGGTGGATGATGATGATCAACGAACGAGAGATCGTGGTGACAAACTTGATGGTTGAGGACATTTCCTTCGCTTCTTCTATTTTCTTGAGCTTGAATAAGAAAGCTCGCAGGACCTTTTTGTTGCTGGCTTGTGTAACAGAACACAACAAAACGATTTCCTCCCTTGAGTGAGACACTGTTTGATGATAAAGTTGAGGTCACTGAATCTCTTACCTTTTGCTCACTGTTTCTCCTCAGCCTCCTCCTCGAACACCTCGGGCTCTTCTTCCTCTTCCTCTTTCGTTTGTTTCTGCTCCTCGTCCTCGGGTGGTAAAACCAGCTGCCTCAAATTGTATTTCGCGAGCTCTTTGTATCCACTCAGGACTCCAATGCCGCAAGTCGTCTGGCAAAAGCAGTTTCTTATCAACCTTAGCCGCTGCAAAGAACCGGTTGAATTACCTTCGCGACTTGGACGATGATCGTCTTTTGCGGCGCTTTGAGGTCCACCGAGTGAGGCTTTGGGACGAGCTGAGCCACGGCGTCGATCAAAGTCATCCTGTCAAGCCCTGTGTTTGCCCGGGCTTCGTAAACCACTGCAAACTAGAACGGCTCCAAAGCTCAGATGCAAGCCAAAAGAAAAAGCCACTTTTACCTTGGTCCCTTCGGCAGCTTCTGCTGGGAAGTGCTTGAGAATCAGCGGCTGGGCAGCGATCTTCACTTCCTCGGCGGATGCGTAGCATGTCACTTCCATCGGTAGCAGCTTCATGCAAAACCTGTCGACGAGCAGCATTAAAATGAAGCTAGCATAGCGCAGGAGAGGAGGAACCTTGTCCTGGATTTCTTAGTGCTGGCTACCATGCGAACGATTGACTCGGCAAGTTCCACGGGGCCGATCGACGCTTTCACCATCTCGATGAAAACCACGCCATTACACCCCGTCTCAGAACTTACAAACCGCGCCTGTATCTTCCAGTCATCCTCGGAGGAAAGAAGAACAAAAAAAAAAGGATCGCTTACATTCTTCTTGTCTCGGAGCTCGACGATCTCCTCCTTCAAAAGCTCGTCAAAGTTCTTCTCAGACGCATCGCTAGACTTCGCGGCAGCTTGCTCGCCCTCGGCATTTTCGTCTTCCGCGACGCTGATGACACCACCAAGATCCTCGAAATACTGCGATCGATCGATCAAGGAGAGAATTTCGTCCCAAAACCATGGCCTACCCGCTCAAGCAGATTGATGCATTCCCGGGAACACTGGCGCTCCCTCCCTCCATCGCAGGTGATGAGGAAGCCCTGGCGCCCAATGGGGATAGAAGCGCCGCCGCGCTTGCGCTTGGATCCCTAAAATCACGCGAAATTTCCATCGGGGAAGGAGAAATCTATCCACGCAAACTCACGTATGCCATGTACTTCGAACGGCGCCTCTTGTCCTCCGCCATAGCTCGTTCTAGGGCGTTTATTCAGCCCTAGTCATAGTTTTTAAACAGTCAGTTCTAGTCAACGGTCAGCTCTAAGCACTTTTTTAAAGGGTCAGCTCTAGTCTAGACCCGTATTTTCTACGGTCAGCCACGACAAATGCCATGGCGAAACACCCTTTTAAAAAACCCTGTCGGGTCAGCCCTAGTCCTAGACAACGGTCAGCTTTCTAATATTTTTCTACGGTCAACTGGCAATGAAATGCAAAAAGTTTGTTCTTAAGAGACGGCCACTTTGCTATCCATGGAAGCCAAGTCGGCGGCGATTCGATCGAGCTGGCCCTTGACAGTGAGATCGATGACGAGCGATGCGCCGGGGCCATACTTGACCTTGAACCCCGCGATCACGGATGGATCCACCTCGTTCTTGATCTTGACGTTCTTGGCCTTGGAGAGGCTCCGGATCTTCTTGGCGATCTCCGCGAGTTGCGAGTTGTCGATCTTCACCGCGGACGTGACCACCGCGATCTCGGTGTCGGTCAGCCTGTAGTAGCTCGTCTCGAACGCCTGGAAGATCTTTTTGGCGATGCCCACCCGGCGCTTGTCCACCAGCACGAACAGGAGATTGGTGGTGTAGGCGTGGAGCTTCTCCTCCTTGGCGATGGCCTTGATCACCGATTTCTTGCGCTCCACGTCCGCCACCGGGTTGGCCAGGAACTTGGCCACCTTGGGGTTGTCAAAGTACTTGCCCAGCTTCTCGGTGTCGCCATAGATGGTGTCGAGCACATTCTTGGACTGGGCTAGGTTCGCCAGCGCCGACGCGTAGGATTCCTCCACGCCCATCACCACCACCGCGCGGCTGCCGGCTCGATTGCTGCTGGATCTTAGCTCCGGGGCCCTGGCGGCCAGCGCGTTCCAGGAGATCCGCGAGGTGCTAGACAGCGCCACTGCTCGGACGCGAGAGGAATTGGCGATGCCCGCGCGGTGCGCCGCCGCTGTGGCCACTGCTGAGGATGACGATAGCTCCATTGCTGATCGAGATCGATCGAGGTATCGATCCAGGAGAGAATCTCTATTCAATCGATCTATCTATCTATCCACTGGTACCTCCTCTTCTTCTTCCTTGGCCCCCGTTTGCTCGGGATTGGAGTTTCTCGTTCGATTGGATGTGGCATGGACGAACCAGATGACACTGTTGTCCGGCCACTCGATTCCTGCCACGTGTCGCTCTCTATCCTGCCCAGCCCAAGAACCCCAGACGTCGTCCTCTGTCCTCGGCTCGCTACCTCGTCACCGCATTCTTGTCTCGCGCGCTTGAGCCCTAATGCGAGATAAACCGTGGATGTGCCGTCCACGTGTTCACAGATTAGATATTTCTCAAAAGCGAGGCATCTTGTGCATATTCGCTCTACGGAACGTGTCTAGCGTACGCACTTTGGCGGGGAGATCTTTGTTTAGGTTGCTACCTAGGGCCGAGAGAGCGGAGGCGCGCTACCGACGAGCAATCGATCGACCGGAAAGATCGAATCGATCGATTGCGTGCTGCGCTAGTTCTGGATTGCGTGCTCGAGTGGAGAATGTTGCGTCTATGAGGTTCTTGTTTAGCGCCAGCGATGATTTCTTCGAGTGAACGGTAGCGTTAGGTGAAAGACTCGTGCTCTAGATCTTCCATGCTCGGGGCTGTCGATATTTCGGCGATGACACCGCGAATCGGGGCGAATTGCTGCCCCTCCCAAGCGTCCGCGATAGAATGTAAGGACTTCTCCCAAGCGGCAACATTTTCTAGATTAGTCCATTGCAAGCTCAAGAGCAGGCGATGGATTCGAAGGCGAGTGTCTTGTTCTCTAAAGAGAGGAGAAGACAGCCACGAGAGTAGCTCGGAGACGACGACGAAATCCTCGCAGAGATCTGGGTTTTGGAACGAGACGGAGATTGGGAAACTGGTTGGGCCATTGATTCATGTTCTCAATGGTTCTGCCAAGCCCGAGGCCGAAAGTTCGTTGCCGCCAACCCCGAGGCAGGTCGATGATTTTCCTGGGAAGATCGTCCAGGTGCTGAGTGGAACGTCATCGCCATGGTCGCCATCTCAAGTATCTCAGTTCAAGAAAACACTGCGGTGGGCCGAAAATGAGTCTCTCAAGGTGAGTTGTTCTACTTGGAAGGTTTCCCCGTTCTTAGATCTTCTATTGGATCTTGCAGTTCGCTCGTAAAATCGGGAAAGGGATGTTCGTGGTGGCAGCGACAGGAGCCATTCTAGCTACTGGATTACAGCTTTCAGGTGTGTCATTCTTGCTATCATTCTTGAGTTTTAGCTTTGTTTTTGAAGATGGTGATCCAAGACTCGAAAGCTGGCTATGGTTCAGCTGGCTCGCTGGCCTAGTTATTGGAAGTATGATAGGCTCAAAACACGTACTAGAGAGCAACGCGAAGCCGGGGCCTCTTAACATTGTGATCACTGGAAGGTTTCTTCGTTGAGTGTTTTTTTCTGAAGATTTTTTGTAACTCTGGAAAACGTGCAGTACCCGTGGTCTCGGAAAAGCACTGGCTCGAGAATTTCTAAGAGCTGGAGACAACGTCATCGTTGCTTCCCGCAGGTTGGTGTTTGAGTTTGTTAAGGATGAACTTACTAGTTTATCTTCGACAGTCATTCGTCCGTTGCCTCCACGGTGGAAGAGCTGACCCAAGAGCTTGAAGAGTCGAGCAGGAACACTTCGACAGCTTTAAGTTGGCCCGAAGAGAATCACACAAAAATGTCCGGGAAAGTTGTGGGAACAACCTGCAACGTGTCGAACAGCGACGAAGTGAAAGCTTTAGCTGAAGTCGCAATGGAAAAGTTTGGAAGCATTGATATCTGGGTGAAGTATCTCGAGACATTTTATTACAAAGCATTCGACTGACCAAGCTTTTGTTCGAGCAGATTAACAACGCCGGTGTCAACAAGGGGTTTAAACCACTGACAGATTTTGACGACGAAGAGATCGAACAGGTTCGCTCGTAATTTACGTCTGGTTTGAAGCAGCTGACAGATGACGTTCCAGATTGTTTCAACAAATCTCGTTGGATCAATGATTTGCACTCGTGAAGCAATCCGCGTGATGAAAAAGCAACCAAAGAAGGGTCATATATTCAACATGGATGGCGCTGGCTCGAATGGTGCAGGCACTCCATTAACAGCAGTGTAAGTAGTGATCTGTCTCAATGGAGGTTTTCATATGTTTCATACAATATTGTAGATACGGAGCGAGCAAAAGTGGGCTTCGACAGCTTCACGAGTCCCTGCGAAAGGAATGCAGGGGCTCTCGCGTTGGGATTCACACCGCATCTCCTGGCATGGTTCTTACAGACCTCCTACTAAGGTACTCTAAATTCTCTCTTAAAAGGTTCAAATTCCAAATCGTTGTTTCAGTGGAGCATCTCTTCACAACAAGAAGATGTTCAACATCATCTGCGAGCAGCCGGAAACCGTTGCTCGCGACCTCGTCCCCAAGATGCGGCGCGTGAAAGGAACAGGAAAGGCCATCGAGTACCTCACTCCACCGAGAATCATTCTCGCCATCATCACGGCGTGGTTGCATCGCGGTCGCTGGTTCGATGAAGAGGTCCGTATAAAGACTCAAAGTTACACTCTCTCGTCGCGAGCCTGACTAGAGTTTTTTCTTTGCCATCCAGGGAAGAGCAGTGTATGCGGCCGAAGCCGATCGCTTGAGAGTGTGGGCGGAGGAACGGCAGCGCTCCAATTTCGCTTCGGCTATGGAGACCGTTCCTAGCGGCACTTGGGTCTCACTCTTCTCTTCCTCAGTCATCTGTGCATACATTATTCTCGCCAACGCCGACAGCAATCTCCCTGGGACGTAAAGAGCTCGTTCGTGTAAGCTTCTTTTATAGAAATAGAATAGCTATGATAGGTTCATTGGTTTATCTCGAGAAGGATTTGCAAACTTTGCAGTGGCAGCTCCCACCAAGGACTGCTGGCAAGTCTTCACTGTCGATCGCCTCCAGTAAGCTCTCGCTGCCATCGCCCCTGTGGATGCTGATCTTCTTCCTCGTCTTTTCGTCCATGAAGGGCCCCAGGAGCTGCCAGACGATCTTGAAAGACACTGGAGCATTCACGATGATCACTTGTCCCAGGTACTCCGGGTAGTACTGGGAGAAGACGTGAGCAAAATGGGAGAGGATCTTTCTCACTCGAGAATTGGTGAAGGTGGAGATCCCCTGCCAAGACCATGGATCGATCGAATAATTGGAAGGAAGAAAAGAAGTTCTTGAGCAGTGTGACTTACAACGTTTTTGAGATCGATCACGATTGTCACACGGCCGACGTGATGGCCGGCGTCCCTGGAGCAAGCCGGGAGCTTGTTCTGGTGGAGATCCTCGAGAACCCATAGCCCACGCCGGATCAGGCGCTCCTCGCTCGTCACCTCGAACAAAGCTTCCACATTCAATCTTAGAAAACCAAACCAAACAATTAGATTCCCATGCCCAGGGGAAAAGAAGCTGGATCCATCCATGGATCCAAACGCTGGACGACCGCATACCTCGAGAAGAGCTGGATGTTGACAGGGCGGCCTCGCTTGTCAGTCTTGTGCCATGCTTGAGGCCACGCCTCAATCACGCGCTCCAGCTCCGGGTACGAGAAATCCTGAGAAATTCCTCCAGCGATCTCGCAAAACCTATCAAAAATTTTCTTACCTCCAGCACCGAATCCACCGATTGCTCCTTGTGCCACCGGACGAATTCCTCGTACATGGCTGCCGCCTTGGGCACGTCGAGCATCCTTGCACGGAGAAATCGCAGCAGGAGCTCGTCATTGTCGCGGCCGGGGGGGCAATGCAATCCCTTCCTTTCGACACAGATCCGGAATTCTCCCAATGATGCCGCCTCCGGTCCTGAGACAGCGCTGTCGTCAAACATTGGATCCAAGGAGAATCTCCTGCAAGCATATTATTCTCATCAGGTAGGTTTGTAACATTACATTGATTGGGCCTTTTAAGAACTAACCTCTGGAACTCTTCCCTCCTCTTTCCTCTTGCGGCGAGAGGAGATTTCACCATCCTCTTGCTCTAGATCCCGTTTTAATATGTTCTTCGCTCCACCATCATTGTTGGAACACTCTCCTGCGGAAGGGACCATTTGATCGATACCACCGCCTTTGATTCTCGCCATCGGCATTCTAGTGTTTCCATCCATAGATTTCCTGCTGGTGCTTGCAGCTCCATAATCTTCTTCTTCCTCCTCTTGGCTACAAAGATTTAAATCAAGGCAAGCACCACCCTTACCTGAAACCGGTGCTGTAGCACTCTTTTTCCACATCTCATCAAGCGCTTGTTGTTGCCTGTAATACGCAGCCGCTACTTCTACTATTGGCCTTGGATAGTTTGATCCCAGCTCGACACCAGCTGCTCTCAAAATAGTTGAGGGAGCATCCCATGGGTGGTGAATCCAATCTATAGGAACTCTTGATAATTCGGGTAGCCATTTCCGAACGTACTCTCCCTTGGGATCCAACTTGTATCCTTCTTCCTGATTTGGATCAAATATAAAACCTGAGATGTTTATAAGAGAAAAACTATACTTACCTGCGGATTTTCCCATCGATCAAGCTCATGGCCGTCTGGCAAGCCTCCGGAAATGTACTGCCAGCCAAGAACATCATTTTCCACATCCGCATCAAGCAATGTCTCCCAGAAGTACTTCATTCCCCAAGTCCATGGAACCTGGAGAAATTTAACCAGAAAGCTCGAGACCACAACTCGGATTTTGCAATGCAGCCAGCCAGTAGCCCACAGTTGCCTCATCCCTGCATCTACCAAAGGATATCCGGTTCGCCCCTGCCTCCAGCTCTTGAAATATCCCTCGTCGGCCCTCCATGGAAAGTGTTTGAGGTTTGCCAAGAGAGATCTCTTGTGAGTAAACGGGAAATTGAAGCTCAAGTACCTTGAGTATTCTCGTAACCCAAGAGCTCGAAGAAACATGTTCATGCTTTCAAAGTCCACGGCTTCTTTGGATCGAAACTGCTGCATCCGAATAGAATAGAAAATCTTGCGAATGCTGATCTCGCCAAAGTGAAGATGCGGCGACAACTGTGAAGTTGTGACACTGTCAATCTGCTTGCGACGGATAGAATATTGCAAAATCGGCCCTGAGAGAAAATCTGTGAAAGCTTTGTCTCCTGCACACCAGCCAGGAGTCCAGCTTCTGGCCAGCAGCGCGTTGCTGCTCTTTTCAGCCTCATTTTCTAGGCCGAGTTGATCGATAGAGCAGCTCTGACAAAGATATCCTGCAAAATCCAGGTAAAAACTACCAGTTCCAGCAAAACAAAATATCGAATCTTGGAATATTAATGGTTACCCGGAAGCGATAGCAGTTGTCTGGGAGGCAAGAGGGGGGCTTCAGGGTCCCGCATGCTCAAACTCTTGCTCCAAAAAGCTTGAAATGTTGTGAAGGCTTGCCCCTGATCATCATAAATCTCCCAGGGCTCATAAAGCAAATCTCCCCGAAAGGTTGTGACAGAGATTCCATGGTCTGCCAGGCCTTGCTTCACTCTGTGATCGCGGATCAAGGACACAGGATCTGAAACATCGTGTAGCCAATAGGTGGAATGAATGAAAGAAAAAAGCAAAGCAAAGCAAAGCAAAGAAAAGATGATCACGTACCGTACAAGTGATTGTAAAAGACTTGCGAGGCACCAGTGTCATGGGCGATTTGCAGCAGTGCGTCGAGCGTCCCAGCGACGCGCTTCACAAGTAGCGGGGCTCCTAAGCGCTCCAGCGAAGAACTCAGCTGGATCAAGCTTTGCTTGAGCCACCAACGCGACATTCTCCCGGGCTGGAACTGGCCCTCCTCCTCCGGGCACCAGATAAACACCGGCACAACGATGGATCCCTTCCTCGCCGCTGCTGCTACAAGCGCTGGATTGTCGTCCAGCCTCAGATCCCTGCGAAACCACACCAAAATCGTGCATGCGCCCGGCGGTGATGCTCCGGATTCTCCTTCCACGCCCGCGGATGCTCCGCCCTCCATGGATTCGTGATCTAGCAGCTGGCTAGCCCTCCAGATCGTGGATCATAGATCGAGAGGAGGAGAAGTGCGACAGATCTAACCGAATCGATGCCTTTCCAGTCGCTAGCAGGGATGGGAATAGAGAGAATCCCAAATTCCAGAGCAAATCCCTGTGACAGTAGCAGGGTGCCCATGACCGTTCTAGTCGGATCATGTTCGACGCATCGTCGCATCGCAGCCGTGGATCTAGTCCTCACGGAATGTCCCGGGCATATTCTGTCACTAGGTGGTCCATTTTCACGCTATGGAGGAGTGGAAGCATCGCCTCCTTCCCAAGGAGGAGAATGCGGACATGGAGGAGCGCGAGAATGACATGGCTCAGCTGCGCCAATCCATCGATCGCGTCTCGATGCTGCTCAAGGCGCGCAAGGCCGGGCAGAATTGGCGCTCCAAATCATCCACCCTAGGATCGTCACGCCCCAGCGGCGATGACCACGAGTCCCAGCGCCATTCTTCCTCGAATTCCTTCTCCTCCTGGCGCCATAATCTGCGCGACGCGCTCGAATCCACGCCGGCGCACGTCACGATCGTGGCGCTGCTGCTCATCGATCTCCTGGCCACGGCCGTGGATCTGCTGCTCACGATCCACAACACCTCCGCCGACCTCCGCGAGTGCTCCGCCTCGGTCCGGGCGTGCCAGTGCGATCCCACCGGATTCAGCAGCGGCCGCGAGCCGTGGGAGTTCTTGCACTGGATCAGCGTGGGCATCCTGGGCGTCTTGATGCTCAACGTGATAGGGTTGATGGTCGCGTTTGGGGCATCGTTCTTCAAGCACGCCGGCTACGTGCTGGATCTGTTCGTGGTCACCAGCGCGCTGGTGCTGGAGGTGTTCTTCGAGGCGGACACGGCAGGGCTGCTCATCATCCTCAACCTGTGGCGGATCGTGCGCGTGGCGCACGGGATCTTCGAGGTGACCGACGAGGCGTGGGAGAATGAGATCGAGGACATGAAGGAGCGGATCGAGGGCGCGGAGGAGCGATTCAATCGGGAATGCGGCGCCAGGGATCGCCGGATCCAGCAGCTCGAGGCGCAGCTCGCCGCCGCCAAGGCTCAAAACTAGACGACGTGTTGTGACACGTCGTGCTGACGTGTATGACACGCGTGTCAGCATGCTGACTTGGTACATCCCATGTGTTTGCCGACGTGGTAATTGTTTTCATTTATTTACTTCCAAAAGACAAACAATAAGGAAGCTCTGTTTTCAGGGCTGGGTAAAAGGAGAATTTAGGGTTCTTCGCGGATGGAAACGCCACAGGCGGGAGGAGCTGGCCATGGCGACGACGCGTGGAGGGGCAGCAGCTGCGATCCGGCATTGCCCTTGGAGTCGGATCCCAAGAAGCAGCAGCAGCAGCAGCAGGGCGAAGAGGCGTGGAATTGCGCAGGGGGCGAAGGCGATGATGAGCGCCCGAGGAAGAAGCTGCTGCTCCACGATCCAGCAGCGGCGGGGGCATTGAGCAGCTGGAGCCCTAATCCGGGCCTGGCGGGCGCGGGAATAGCGAATGCGAGCGCGGGGGGCGATGGCGGGGGATGGATGCCCTCGGCGGCGGACAAGATGGAATATTCCATGGAAGCTGACAATGGAAAAAACAACATCCCCCAACTCGTGCTTGAGGAAAGGAAGGAAATGAAGGAGGAGATGGAGGCGATGGCGATGGCGGCCAGGAAGGAGGGAGCGCCGCCTTTTGTGCCTCCTGCGCTCGCGCCACCGTCTCTTCCTTCTAGGGGTAATTTCGAGCAGCCCATCAAGGAGGAGGCTGGATCGGAGGAGGCTGAGGAGAGGCCCAAGATCATCGCTGCTACTGACGATGACAAGAGGAAGGCGAGGGATCCCCACCACCACCACCATCACAAGCGGGATCGCGATGGGAACGCCAAGGTCGAAGAGGAGAAGCACGAGGACGTGAAGATGGAGGCTGGAGGAGGCGACGACGCCATCGCCAATAGCACCGGCATCAAAGGCAAGGATAGATCTGTGGAGAACAACGCCGCGACCGAGGACGAGATCATGGAGGACGCTGCTCAGCCAGTTGACAAAGATAAGATTGTCCAGCAGCGGAAAAGGATGTCCCGGCAGCGAGGCGAGGGGCGATCGAGGTTTAGATCCAAGGATCGAGAAGGGTATGTGTGCTTCTTTTCTTACTTCTCTGATCTAAATGCCGGTCTCTTCTTTTTTCTCAGATGGCTCGGTGCTCGTGCCGAATCGTCTGCCGTGACTTACAAGATCGGTGAAGGCCTGCCCGAGCTAGCGAAGCTTTGGAAGGAGAGTGCGTCCAGTTCTTCCGAGGGTGGGAGCAATGGCGGAGCTGCTCCACTTTTGGAAGTGAGAGTGGCTGCTGATCTAGCCACAACATCCAACAGACAGGTCTCGATTTCTTCCTTCTTTGTGTGTGCCAAGTACTAAACACCATATCCAGGTTCGTGGGAGCCAACTTTGGGGAACAGACATCTACACCGAGGATTCCGACCTCGTTGCTGGTAAGTTTTTCTCTTCCGTGTTTATGCAGAGAAGCTGAGGTAACGTTTGGTGCTCACGCAGTTCTCATGCACACCGGCTACTACAGTCCGACTGCATCGCCTCCCCCGTCTTGCATTTCAGAAATTCGAGCAACGCTGCGCGTCCTTCCTCCACAAAACGGTGAGCTTTTTATGGTGTAATGGATGCAGCAACCTTTTTGTCTTTGGACAGGCTATAAATCAACTTTGAGAAACAGCGTCCGATCGCGTGCCTGGGGCGCTGCCAGCGGCTGCAGCTACAGCATCGAGCGTTGCCGTATTGTGAAGGTAACAAAAAAGTCGTGCTTCCTTTTTGTGGATCTCAGTTTTCTGTTGTCCTTTCACGTTTTTCTAGTCCGGAGGCGGATTTGCAGATTTGGAACCTTGCTTGAACAGGATGCCAGTTGTAGCTCCAACGCTTGCTCCTGCTGCAATGGAGCGGACCATGACTACACGATCGGCATCATCGGTAGTGTATCATCTCTTAGTTTCTAGTTTTTAATCGCGTTGTTTGATGGCACAGAATGCTCACCGGCAGCAACGGTTTGTTCAAGAAGTTACGATCCAGTATAACTTATGCAATGAGCCCTGGTAAGTTGTTCTCTAGAGATCTTGTTGAGCCTCGTAACAATTCGTTTTCTATGCTCCAGGCTGAAGTACAGCATGAGCATCGTTGCGGACAGGGGCTTGAAGAAGTCACTCTACACGTCTGCGCGTCTCAAAAAGGGAGATGTCCTCTACTTGGAGACGCACTCACACAGGCAAGCCAAAGAAAACGATAGCTTCTCCAAAGTTTCAAACTCTCTCACGAAAGCGTAACTCACAGGTACGAGCTGTCCTACGATGGCGAGAAGGCATCCTCCAACGGGACAGCCCCAGCTACAACAACAGCGACCTCGTCCCAAGCTCCATCTCAAGCTCCGGAAAAGCCCAGCAAAGATAAAGCGCCCTCGAGCGACAAGGAGAAGCCGCATTCTCACAATGGCTTTTGTGACAAGAACGGGGACTACGCCGAGCACTACAAGTGGGCTCGATGCAACGTTCCTTTGCCGCTGTCCATTGTCCGATCCAAAGGAGTGCCGCTCCCTCCAGATTGCGTCCAGGTGAGTGAGATCAAAAAAATTTCCACGCTTGGTCTTCGTTCTCACGCTGTGATTTTTTGTTTTCTTCGCAGGTTCTCGAGGAGAGTTTGACGTGGGAAGAGGTCCAATGGTCGCCCACTAGCGTTTGGGTCCGCGGCAAAGAATTCCCGCTCGCAAGGGCCCAGTTTCTTTCTCCTGGAGTTTCCCCGTGATGACAATGCAAGGAGATTTTTTTTTGTTCCAACTTTACCATTGCCCTAAATTCAAAGAACGGACGGCTACGATTTGAAGTGCCGCAAGCCAAGGTTTAGGGTTTAGGGTTCTAGAAGAATCGCGCCCCGCGCCCTCCCCGCATTCTCTCCATCTCCTCGCTGCGGCGGCGCTACAGCAGCAATGGCGTTCATGTCGCGGCTGGGCGGTTCTTTGAAAGGTGCGCTCAAGCCAAACAGATTAGCAGCCGCTGCGCTTCCGGCGACATACACCTTGAGCCGCGGGTTTTCGTCCAAGCTCTTTATCGGCGGTATGATCCTCGATTGTCTCGGGTGTTTGATGCATTTGATCGATGATTCCCAGGTCTTGCCTGGGGCACCGAGGAGAGAGGGTTGCGAGACGCGTTCAGTCCCTTTGGAGAGATTATAGAAGGTATAAAAGTTTTTCTTGGTCTCTCGCAAATCTCTCGTTGCAGTGAGAGTCATCCAGGATCGAGAGACTGGACGCTCAAGAGGATTTGGTTTCGTGAGCTACATTACCGATCAAGAGGCACAAAAGGCTATGGAAGCCATGGACGGAAGGGTACAGAAAGAACCATGGTTTTGCAAAGAGATAATCTCTTCTCGCGTTTATTTCTTGAAGGTCTTGGATGGTCGCACGATCCGGGTGAATTACGCGACGCAGAGGCAGCCCGGTAGCTTTGGCGGCGGCGACGGTGGTGGCTACGGTGGAGGCTACGCCAGCGGTGGCGGGGCATACGGCGGTGGCGGCTTTGGAGGTGGCGGCGAGGGAGGCCTCGAGACAACCAGTGACGCTCCTCCTGGTAAGAACGAGTTTTTTTTTGTTTATTAAGCTAGTTCCTGAGCGATTCTCTCCGTGGTTTTCCCAGAAGAGGAAGAACAGAGAGCTCCTATCACCGGCGGTGGCTATGGAGTGACCACCGGTGGATTGGGCGCGGCGGCAAGTGGAATGGAAGCTCCTCCTTCGCAGCCATCGCCAGGCTATGGAGTCACGACCGGGGGCTATGGCGGCGGCTATGGAGATTCATCCTCGAGCTCCGGTGGTGGCGGCTATGGAGTCTCAAGTAACTCGACCGAGGAAGAATCCAGAGGCTATGGTGTAGGTAGTGGTGGTTTCTAGTTTCTAGTTATGTGTTCTCTCTATAATTTAGAGCGGTGGTGCTTAAGTTTGAATTTAAACAGCGTATATTCTCTGGGGTTTAAATTGAAGTGCTGAGAATCTTCTCTCTAGGGTTTATGCCGGCCAAGGTTTAGGGTTTAAGGCGGAGGAGGGATCTCCGGCGCTCGCGAGCGGTGAGCGTTTCTTGTCTCTTAGATTCTGTCCGCGATATCGGCTTGCTTGGCTCCAGGTCGCGATGGCATTCTTGTCGCGGCTGGGCAGCGGTCTGATGAGAAATGCCCTCAAGCCCAAACGAATCGCGGCTGGCACGGCCTTGCCGGCGACTTACGTTCTCAGCCGGGGATTCGCTTCCAAGCTCTTCGTCGGAGGTTTGTGTGATTCTTTCCCTGGAATTTTCTCTTCTTGTTTCTTCATTTCTTTGATGCTTTCCTATGGATCAGGCCTTTCATGGAACACCACCGACGATACTTTGGGGCAGTCATTCGCTGGCTATGGAGAGATTGTGGAAGGTACGAGAAAGAAGTAGAAAAATGTGGAATGACAAACTCGCTTTCTCCGTTTGCAGTGAGGGTGATTAGCGATCGCGAGACGGGGCGATCCAGGGGCTTTGGATTCGTCACATTCATCAACGATGCGGACGCACAAAAGGCGCTCGAAGGCATGGACGGAAAGGTGATAGACAAACACCAAGTTTGCGTCTAGTGCCTGAAATGGTCTTTTGTTCTACCAGATGCTAGATGGCCGGACTGTCCGCGTGAACTACGCGACGCAAAGACAGCCTAGCGCGTTTGGTGGCGGTGGCTTTGGTGACGGCGGCGGCGGCGGCGGCGCCTATGGTGGCGGAGGCTTTGCGACTGGCGGTGGTGCTTACGGCGGTGGAGGAGGCGCTTACGGAGGTGGCGGCGGTGGTTACAGTGGCGGTGGCGGTGGTGGCTACAGTGGTGGCAGTGGTGGTGACTTTAACAACAACAATTCTTTCGGCACAGGAGGTGGTGGTGGTAATCCATTTGGTGGTAGGCGTTACACTAATGTGGACCCTTTTGGTGGTGTCTTTGATGGTCCAGGAGACGCCTATGGCAACACCACCGCTGAGGAGCAAAGACCACCCCCCACTGGCGCTGGCTTCGGAGTTTCTACCGGCGGCTATGGTGGAAGCCATGCTGATCCGGTCGGAACTGGAACAGGAAACGCCACCGGTGGTGGTTTCGGTGCTGATGCTTCTTCTGGAGGTGGCTACGGTGCATCGTCTGGCACCACCACTGGAGGCTATGGTTCAGGGTATGGTGCTACCACAGGAGGCTATGGTGCTGGAAGCTCCGGTAGTGACGGCGGTGCTGGCTTTGGAGCGAGTAATACAGCAGGGGGCTCGGGTGGCTATGGTGTGAACTCTGGCGGATATGGAGCAGCAACAGGAAACACTGGAGGATTTGGAGCTACAGGCGGAAGCTCTGGAGGATATGGTTCCACAGGAGGCTCCGGTGGCTTTGGAGTTACAGGCGGAAGCTCTGGAGGATATGGAGCTACCACAGGAGGCTCCGGAGGATTTGGAGTTACAGATGGAAGCTCTGGAGGATATGGAGCTACGACAGGGGGCTCCGGAGGCTTTGGAGCTACAAGCGGAAGCTCTGGAGGATATGGAGCTACCACAGGAGGATACGGAGCTGGAGGCTCTGGACTATATGGAGCTACAACTGGAGGCTCGGATACAACCGGGAGCACTGGAGGAGGATATGGAGTTTCAACCGGAGGCTCGAGCCCAGGAAGCTCTGATGGATCTCTTGTCAGTCCAGGAAGCAGTGGCGGATATGGTGTGAGTTCTGGATCAACCACCGGAGGCTATGGCGTTTCGGGTCCTGGTGGAAGCGCGGGTGGCGGATATGGCGTCTCGACTCCTGGTGGAAGCTCGGGTGGCGGATATGGCGTGACTACTCCTGGTGGAAGCTCGAGTGGCGGATATGGAGTGACTACTCCTGGTGGAAGCGCCGGTGGCGGATATGGTGTTACTACTCCGAGTGGTGGCTATGGCGTTAGTTCTCCGGCTGGAAGCTCCGGAAGCTCGGGTGGTAGCACTCCGGATGGAAGCTCTGGTGGATATGGTGTTGGCGGTGGCTATGGCGTCGGGAGCTCTAGTGGTGGCGGCTATGGTGTCACTGCTCCCAGCACTGGCGGTTATGGGGTCACAACTGGAGACAACTCAAGCTCAAGTGGGTCTGACGTGGCCGCAAGTGGGGACACCCCGGAACTGGGATATGGCGTCGGTAGTGGGTAGTATAAGTAGTAAGGGGAAACAGTAGAAATGGGGCCTACGCGATATTTATAGTGGCATATGAGATATTTCCACGTGTATCCAAGTAGTGCTTGCCACGTGTAGTAAAGGTTATCTCGGCCAGCGTGGATGACAATCTGGCGTACGTCATCCCACGTCAGCGCGGGCCTAGCTATGCCCGTTTATATGGCTCCTCGCTTGCGTGTGTGGCGCAAACAGCCCTAGCTCTCGCGCGCGCCGGCGCTGGCGCCCCTTTCTTGGCGCATCGAGAGATCGCGAATGCGGCAAGGTCGGTTTTAGGGTTTGCGGCAATGCGCGCAATGGCGTGTGCGAATTTGCCTCTGGCTGCTGCTGCGGAGATGCTTCGCTCCCCGATGCTCACAGGTGAGTGATTAGATTACGTTTCTTTACACGCGCCTCCCTCTCCATCCCTCTCTCTCTCTCTCTCTCGCCTGTTTGACGCGAATTTCACGAAAGAGTTATTCATTGGGCAGTACTATACTTTCTTGTCCACTTTTGAAAAACAAAAACTTCTCTTTCCCCCTGGTTGGTTTTCAAGTTTTATCTATTTTTCTTTTCGCAAACACTGACTGCTCATCCGACTTGGACAGGTGAATTGGAGCATCCAGAGACTCGATCTCCGTGAGAGAGAGCTCCTCCTCCCCCTACGCTGATCGATCATGGTTCGGCTGTCCAGATTCTCGTTCCGGTCACAGTGGTCGACTACAGGAACCAAGGACAAGCTGGCAGCCTCGCTCATGGTATGTTTCCATCCAAAACAAAGGAGAGTGGTCTAGTCGGAAAAGCCTTAACGATTACTCTTAGGCGAGGTCACAGCGAGTCGAGGGGCTCGGCACAGGGACAGGAAAGAAGAAAGCAAGCTCAAGGTTGCTCGAGGCTGAGCAATGCTGTCGAGACAGCCCAGGCAGCGGCGGCGGTACCCGCACCAGCACCATGGCCAAGGTGCTGGGCTGCTCAACGAGGACATCCTGGAGCTGGTATTGCGGCACGCCAACTGGAACCCGTACATGCTGTGCGCCATCGCATGCGTGTGCAAGGCGCTCAACGAGCTCATCAAGCTGGAGATGTGGAAGAAGTTTTGCCTGTCGCGCGCGCCCCGCATGGCGGCCGACCTGTCCTTCGGCGTCAAGAACGACGCCATCGAGATCAACTGGGACAAGCTGGGCAAGCTCATGATCTACTGCGCCGGCTGCCACTCGACGCGCCACTTCAAGTCGCTCTCGCCGCCGGGTGGCGGCCACCTCGTCTTGAAGTCGCGCTTCTCGCGGACGTCGGGGCGGAGCTTCCTCCATCCAAAGTGCCGCTCGGACGTGCTGTACGTGACGGACCTGTGCGAGCACCTGGACGACGAGGAGGACGTGGGCCTCTTCCGCGGGGTGTTCAAGTCGTTCGGGGCGTCCAAGACGCGGCAGATGCTGCTGGACCGCGGGAAGCTGGAGGAGGGGGCGTGCTGCCCGTTCTGCCGGTCGCGGGTGTGGAGCATGATGGAGGCGAGGATGATCCCGCCCAGTGCGCAGCGGCGGCTGGCGTCGTATGACTACGAGAACAGCATCGAGTACCTGGTGTGCATCAACGGCCACCTGACCGGGATGTGCTTGCTCCTGCCGCTACCGGACTCGGACGAGGAGCGCGCGGGTGGCGGCGGTGGCCGAGGTGGAGGTGGTGGCGACGATGGTGGCGGCGACGAGGATGTTGACGACGACAACGAGCCCGCCGCCATGGCCAGGGACAACGGCAAAGCAGTAGCGATCAACAGCAGCAGCGACGATTGCGAGACGGACGTGCGATTGTGATATGAAAGGTTTCTACACCAATCCAGGCACAGTGAGTGTGAGTGTGCATGTCTTTGTGTGTTTTTTGTGTGAGTACAACTTTCTTCTCTCTCTCTCTCTCTCTCTCTCGCTCACTCTCACTCCTCTCTCACACTCTTCTTCGTTTTCATTCCTTTGGTAATTTTTGCTCCTCCAGAATCTCTTTGTTTCGCTTAATCAGCTACTCTTAAGCAGCAGCCCGGAAGCTGGATCGATCTAGAAGTCAGCTAGCTGACATTACTTTTACATGTAACATTCTTGTTGCCAAAGAAATGTCAAGGACAGGGAAAGAGAGGAAGAAAAACATCCTGGAAAAAAGAAAACTTTTCCTCTCTCTCCCATTCATTGTCTCTTGCTCGTTTCTTGCGAGACAAGGGAAGCGCGCAAACGAGGAGCAGCAGCACAGCAGCCTTTGCGCGCACTAATCATACAAAACCGTTCGAAACGGTTTTCATGACAACCAAGAACGAAACCAGAAAAGAAGGATTTCTACCATTGTTCCACTTTTGCGGGACAAACACGACACAAAACACGCACTGTTGCTTGCTGGGAGGTTTCACGGGATCCGTTACGGAATATACCTCCCTCACTTCCCGGGGCCACCATGGGCCATAAAGACATAACCGAAAGCAAAAAGAATTTCACTAGCGCGAGTGACAGGCCACTCGAAGCGCGAATCATTCCCCGAGCTTGCAAAGGTCTCTGGCTATGGCGGCACAGCCTTTCCACGCTCTCTCTTTCTCGTAGAAATAAAACCATTGTTTGTTTCGTTTCGATTCGAGAGCTACCTTTTACATGCTTCTATTTTTCTCTTCCTTTTTCCTTCTGACTTATTTGCCTTTTTCGATCTTACGTTTGACTGATCGCGGCTCTTGATACGCGCTTATGTATCACCTAAGACCCAAAATCAAGAGAGTAGAGAGAGAGAGAGAGAGAGAGAGAGATAAGTGGAATGCAAGAACCGGGAGCGAGCAATTAAGCAGCCAGCGCTTCCAACTCTATATGTAAAGTTACTCGTTCTTGCCTCGCACAGCCTCAGACCAAAAAAGAAAACGAAGAGTGAGAGAGGGAGAGATCGAGCAAAGAAAGGGAAGGAGGAAAGAAAGAATTTACTCAGCCACGACTTCCACCACCACCAACATGTCCTTGTTTTCTCCTTGCGAGCGATGGTGGTGTAACTGGTGTTGTTGGTGTTGTTGTTGTTCACACCTCCGAGAGCCACTCGTGGCCATTGATGAAGTTGATTTGCATGAACGGCCTGGCCTCGTAATCGTTGAGCTCGTGAGACCAACTGACACGGCCCGATTCGCCGGCACCCGGTCCACTGCATTTGTACTGGCCGAAGAAGACCGTCCTGGAGGCAAAAGCTTACAGAGATTAGAAACAGCATCGGGTGAGGAATCTTTCCACGGACCCCTGCTCCAAATCGCGAGGAGCGGCATCCCATGAGACACAAAAAGGAAAGCATTTAAAAGGAAAACGAATCCAATACACAGGCAGTCGCAATCCCCGCGACTCCAGACAAAGCAAGCCAACAAGCAGCCAAGAAAACAATGCGGGAATGCCTGCCAAAATCCATGGAGAAAAAACCAAAGCCAATGCCGGAAGCAAGCCTTGTCCAGAAAGAAAAAAAATCCTAGGATGCCGGAGGGAGTTAAGTACCTTTGTCGCTGCGGCACCCCCCAATCGTACCAGCCTTCGGGGATGATCACATTGTCCATGCGCGTGTTGATGTAGACGATGCGGGAGTAGGCTCCCCAGGCACGCCCCAGAAACACCTGCCCTTTGGATCCGGTGATGGTACAATCCACAAAGACGAAACCGGAGCTGTCGCTGGGATTCCAGCGATTGTGAGCAGCCAGCGAGCCATACGACTCCGCAATGCTATGGAGCTCACACTCCTGAAGATAAGAAAAGCCAGCGTCAGTTTCCAGATCGATCGATCACTACTAAACTAGAACTTACCCGAAAAATGGACTGGGCATGGCCGAAGATCACGTCGATGGATCCCTCAATGTAGCAATCGCGGAAGTAATGCCTGCCTTGATAGTCGAAGAGGGTGTCCTGAGCGCCGTAGAAGCCGCAGGAGTAAAAAGCTTGCATGTCTGCTGCTGCCAGCGCGGCCACCGCTTGCCTGTTCTCGGCTCCTGGAGGTGGTGCTGGTGATCCGTTCTGATCACCACAATGAATCGCAGAGGAGAAAAAAAAAAAAAAACCATTTGTCAAACCAAGCACGAACGCAAAGACATAAAAGCCAAGTACTTGCCTTAAAGCTGATTCCTTTGGCGATGAAACTCGGGGCCCAAGCCGTGAATGTAGCACTGTCGGCCGTGCCCGACCGGCTAGCGGCATCGTTCCATTCGATCGTCGTCTTGTCCCTCCCCGCTCCCTGGAAGATTATGAAGGGCTTGTTGTAGGGGATGATCACCTTCTCCCTGCTCGTCAATCAATCCATTCCGGAATCGTTGCTAGGAATTGCGACAAAGGAGAAATCTTCTTCTTACCTGTAGAGGCCGGCATTGATCTGGACGTAGACCCACTGCTTGTTGTCGAGAGGGATGGAATCCACGGCGGCCTGAATCGTCTTGAAATTCCCATGGCCGTATTGATCCACGATGAGGTACTTGGAGATGGCCATCTGCTTGAAAGGATTCCGAGCCTTGCGATTCTTGTGCATCTGCTGGTTCCACACGCCCCTGCCGTGCCTGATCCTCCCGCCGCGCCGCCGCGCCCAGGAATTGAGCAGCCGGACGGCGGAATCCGGCGCCTTGAAGAAGCTCCTGTGCGCGGGGTGCTCATGCAAGGAAAGAAGCAGGGAGGGAGAGGGAGAAGAAGGAGATTCTTGATGCGCGATGCCGGCGCCGCTGCTGCTGTTCTTGGAGAGGATGCTCGTCAAGGCGGCGGCGGCGCGCGGATGAATCCGGGGATCTTGTTGCCCGCCGGCGGGGACGAGGAGCAAGATTATGGCGAGAGCGGCCGCGGCGACGAAAGATTGGACCTGCATTGTGCGCTTTCTTGCTCCTTCCTGGTTTTCCCGCAAGAAATCCAGCTCTAGAGCGCCATGGCCGCCGGATTGAGCGATCTCACAACGACATTGTTGTCTAGCTGCTGGAGCGCGCGCGCAAGAAGAGAGAGAGGAGAGAGAGAGAGAGAGAAGAGGGAGAGCTTCTTGCTCGGCCGGAGAAGAAAGACGACTCTGTTGGCCCTAATTTTTCTTTTGCTGACATCCCGTTATTTTATATGGGGAAAGAGGGGCAAAATGCCGGCTCAGGGCATTTTGAGCTTTTTGCCCTAATTTTATATTACGTTCGGCCACCAGTTTGGAAGATTGTATTTGATGGATTGATTCATCCAAGCTCTTTTGGAAGATTGTAATTGATGGATTGATTAATTCAAGTTCCTCTGGAAGATTGTATTTGATGGATCAAGCTCCTGGCTTGCGTACCTTCGCTTCTCTATTTTAATGAATAGAAGAGAAAGAAAGCCCCTTTCGTTTTCTAGAGACTGGGCAAATGAACAGTGTGCTGTTAAAAACACAGCATGTTGTGGACATGTTGTGTTGTTGTGGGTGGTGGCGCATCGCATCCAAAGTACACGATTGGTTTGGAGATCGATTTCCATGGGTGAGAGTTTTAGTTGGGCATTTAATCGCATCCTTGGGTTTTCAACACCTTCTTTCTAGGTCTAACCACAAATGCATAAAAGACCTTGCGAGATTTCGAAGCTTCCCCGTCTACCATGATCACGCTCGAAAAATGTGGAATATCCACCCAGTCAACTCCTGGTCAAAACCCGTTAAAAGCTGTTTGACCAAACCAAAACCAAAACCACAAACCTACAAAAGAGTGTAGATGGATAGAGCTCTTGGCATCATGAGCTCCAAAGATCCTGTCCCAGAGTATGTGTCAGCGCCGGGGCATGTTAGCCCGTCATGTGTTTGCTGCTCGAGCCAATCCATCACACCAACCGGGGAATAAGAAATTGTTGGAACGAGCCCGGCGCGACGATCATCAAACCCTAACTCCAGCGTCCCCATCAACTTCTCTACCCAAACGACAAACCTTTACATGCAGTGGACGCGCGAGATCACGACCACGAGCCCTACATTCCAATTGCCAAGGTAGCAATATCAAAATCAATCAAGCAATTGCAAAGGTGTTGGGGGGGTGGTGTCAATTTTTCCCCCATCTCCCCCTCCCTTTCCCCGGCAACTAACAGCCTTCCATGTGGAGGGTGGTTTGTTTCTATAACGACCACGCCCCCCTAGAAGGAAAAAAGAAAAAAAGCCATTCACATTTCAACATCCACCACATGCCAAGACTATTCACACCACCGTAACTCGTGATTAAAATTTTTGTACCATATACAATGCACGAGATTAAACTTTGGTTATTTTACGCCCACCTTGCGGTCGCTATCAATCATCGCTCCCTCGCCATAGCGTCCCATCCGACGGCCGCCAGCCACCGCCGCGCAACGGTAATCCCCTCCTTGGATTTGGGATATCCTCCCTGCCGTACGGGGATCCATCACCGTCGTACACGTTCCGTTGCGACATTGTACATTCCGGCGTGGAATCGGCGAGCGGTTGGGATCGCTCCGGATCGTTTGTAATCATCGGCCGTGCGTGGCGTGCGTGCTCCTCGTCTTTGTTTCTTTTAGCAGGGACCGATGCCGAGCTTGCCATACTCGAGCTTGCCTTTGGAGACGCCGATGAGAACTTTGGCCGCGTGTTCTAGCACCATGTTGTTGATGCTCTTGGCGATGCGGCCCGCGGTTCTAAACTCCTCGGCAGCCTCGGATAGCTTCCTCTGCTGCGTGAAAATGTGGCCGAGCATGTAGTGCCCCCGGGCTTCGCCTTCGGTGAAACCGAGCGATTCACAGATTTGCAAGTACCTGGAAGAAACAAACGTTGTTTAAGTTTTCGGTGGGACACACACACACCCACGGAAAAGAAAATGGAAACGAGGACCTTTTCGTGCACAATCTCGATGCTCCTAGTTTTCTTCGTCGCAGTAAGAGGTAGGCCAGGTTGCCGACTGCCACGCTTTGATATTCTGGTCTTCGCATGTATGTCGCACACTTCAAAGCTTTCTGGAAGAAACAGCGGGAAACGTCAAACGAGACAAAAGCAAGGCACTAAACAAAAGGAAGTCAACGTACCCTGTGGCTTCGGGCAGCTTCAATCCAATTTCCAAGCGCTGCATGAAGGATTCCAGCGTTGGTGTAAGCCATATATTTCCCTTCGAGATCTGCCAGATGCGCATGCTGTTCGTGGTAAGCGAGTGCCTCCTCATACTGAAACGATATACAACAGCGTCAAGAGCTTTTATACGCTGAGTGAATGCAAGCTACTTACTTGCATGGTGGCCTCCGTAGACAATTCAAGCTCACCCATAGGTCCGACCTTCTCGACTTTCTCAGTCTTTAGTTTCTTGTCTTGGTCTTCTTGCAGAGAACAAGCTATGAAGTTGTACCCCATTGCTTCCCCTTTGGCATCGCCAGTATTTTGGCAGAGCTCGCAAAACTTTTTGTAGTTCTCCACAGCTCGAGTGTAATCCTGAGCTTTGCTTAAAATACACATATGTTCCACATCCGCAACTCATAAACCCGAACAATGCATACCTGGCCATTGTCATAAAGAACACCCAGACAGAGGACAGCTGAGGCTTCCTGTTTCATTTGGCTCGGATCATTCATTCGTCTGATTGATTCCAAGAGCACATTCTTGTCCACAATCTCATCCTTGAATGCACCTATATAGTTCGCACATCATCGACCTGTTACCATGAGAATAGAAAAAGTATAATCTGATATACCGTGGCCTCCCTTTTCAATCGCAGTTTCCTGCTCCTCAGGACTTATCCTAGCTGCCGAACTGTACTCCGGAGGAACGCTGATGCGTAAGAAGCTCGATATTGGCTTGCAGAGTTCCAAGTCTGTGTATAAGAAAATAAGAAACAGCTGCTAACAAAATCACTCTCGGGTGTCTACGTACCTGCAAACTGCGCACTTTCTTTTGTCTGTCTCAATAAAATCCCAGTCACTTGACGACCCTCGCCATCGAATACTTGCTCATGCCTGTCTAAGAAGAACCGCACGTCTAGAATTCACTACAGTATTAAGGCTCTCACCAAAGTCGTAGTCCAGTGGCTGTTTTGTTAAGCTTTGCACCGATGTTTGACACAGGCGCTCTTAAACCTGGAAGCATCAACGTAGCGCTTGTGAGAAAAATAAAATCTTAGCAGGAGCTGAAATTCACCTTCGGCTCGACCGGGTGGCTTTGTGACGAGAGCTCTTTTGATCCATCCCGGTGTCGTTCCCCGACTGTCCGGCCTTTCTTTGCTTTGCAAGCTCGCGAGAACGTCCTGAAAGAATTATCAGCCTCACTCACGCAGTGTTAGAACGCATTCTCGCCTCTTCTTCTTGTTCTTCTTATGCTTCTCGACTTCTTCTACCAGCTAAAACCTATAGAAGCAAACCACCACTGAAGAACTGATTTTCCTTTGTCTTCTCCTTCTTCCACTTCTTTTACTTCTTTCACGCAAAAGCCTTCCCTTTGACGACCAGCGGATGATTCAATAGACTCTTGCATCCAAGCCTGCTGCTCTCACTCGACATGAAGCACGTCTCACACTGGCAGCACGCACTCTCCCTGACGATCCGCGGACCCAAAAATCTCCTGGGCTTCACCACAACACCCGACCCAAGAAGACGCTGCTCTGGTTCTATCACCTCAGGTGACCGGGCCCTTACTCTCCATCGCAGCCTCTTCTTGGCCACAAATCCCTCCTGCTCCAGCAAGATTTGCTCCTTCTCCGCCGGCGTCAGCTCCTTCTCCACGATCACAACCTCCTCCTCCTTCTCCAGCCTGTATTTCTTGCCATCCGCGGTGTGCTTCTCCTTGAGCCGCTCCCTCCACGAAGACGGGATCTCAAACCCCGTGGAATCCTTCTCATCGAATGGAAGTACCTCCTCGATCGGGATCCGGAGATCCGGCCGGAGGGGATTGATGTCAGGCCTCCTCACCGGCTTGAGCGTGAAATCCAGCGGCTTCCTGTAGGCGCGCTTGCTCTCCTTGTCGTGGAGCTTGTCCTTGAGCCATAGATCCGCCGTGCGCGGATACGTCCCCAGCTGGTGGGCGCCAGAGGCGCCCCTCTTGAGCAGATCGGCTCTCTCTAGCCACCACATTCTCGCCCGGAGAAAGGATCCGCTCGCTCCTCGCAAGAGCCCTAATCGCGGGGAGGTAAGGCCCGTTGGATGGTGTGGATCCAACGGCTCCCGAGCAAGCCCCGCCAAAAGTCACAAGACCTTTTGGCCCTTTAAATAACGACAGGATCGAAGATTCGAACCAAGGATCGGTCTGGACATAATAATATACAACGAGAGAAGCTACGCAAACACACACTAGCTTTGCTTCACTTCCTCTTCCATCAAATGCCTCACAATATTTCTCGACGAAGCTGATACTAGATGGTCCTGAAGAGCACAGGTCGATGATCCTCGCTCCTCGACGTTCAATCTGTTATTCACAGCGGTACTATCACTTGGAGCATTGGCGCTGCTTCTCTTTGGATTTGCTCCTCCACCACTGCTACCACTGCCTTTACCATCACCATTGCAGTCACCACCACTGGTATCACCACCACTAGCATTGTTGCTCGTCGTTGTCCGGCAGTATGGCACGAACCCGGACCTTCTTCTGCCCTTGCTCGCAGAGCTGGAGAGGATAGACGAGAGCAAACTGGTCTCCGAGGCCATGCTGGAGATTCCAAAGCTGCTGCCGGTCCTGTTGTTCGTGATCTTGTCTATGTCAAGGCTGCTGTTTTGTTTGCTCCACTCGCTGACAGTCTCCAGATCGCTCGTCTCACTCTCTGGTAAAGATTTCCTCTCATGCTGCTGCTGCTGCTGGTCCTGTTGGAAACTGTTCCTCTGAGAAAACGTCTGAGGTAGCTTCTGGTGTGAAAAGAGAGCTTGGAACGCCATTCGGCCCTGGTAAAAAAAGATGGATGTCTTTAAACAGAAAAGAGAAACAAAAAAGCTAACCCCTTGAGACACTTCTTTGCGTTGCTCCCCGTCCGAGCCGCTGCTACGAGCCGGCCTTGGATTTCTCTGGAACCTCCGGAACCGAGAGCAGTGATGACTGCTGGCATGCTGGAAGCTTGGAGCTTTGAATGAAGCAGCTTCCTCGGTTAAAGCCTCTTCTCCCTCACTCTTATTCTTGTCGGACGAGGACTCCTCACTCTTGACCGTGGCTTGAGCGGTGCCGCAGTGGGACGAGTTGGAGCTCGGGCCGCTGTTTCCAGATGCGTCTCCGTCACCATTCCCTTGTCCACCAGCGTCGCAGTGCCCGTTGCCATCGTCGCTTCCAGACGAGGAAGGAGGTTGATCCTCTTTGAGAGATCGCGACTTCACTCGCCTCTTTCCAGCGTCCTTGTTTTCGAAGCTGCTGCTCAGCCTCTTAGAACTCGGTGAAATGTTCGAGTTGTCGTCATCATCTTGTGGCATTTCATCAATGCCGTCCGGCTTCCTGTTTTTCGCTCCTCCGTGACACTGGTCATGCCTGTCCGTCATGTGAACTTCTGGATGAGGAACCATGCACTGAGGAAGGAAAGTCGGCTGTACAGAACCTTGCAATGCCCACCACGCTGAAGCTGCAGCGATCGTTGCAGCAGCAAAAGCAGCAGGGGAGTTGTCTGTGTTGTAGACGTCAGATGGTGTGCCCGTCAATACAGTTCTTATGACGGACGAAGTTAAGTCGTTGACATTGGGCAGGGTTGGCCAGTGTGGTGTCCCTGCCGCTGCCGCAGTATAAACTGAAGGTTGCCACAGAGGAAACATCGGGTTACCTCCTCGGTCCATCCCCAGGTTGCAGAAGCTATAAGGCGGCGAGACTCTGTCCGAACCTTGCAAGCTCTCCCAAAACTTTGAGTAGTACAGCGCCGCCAGCTCCTGTTGTTGATCAGCTACCGTCGAGCTTCCATCCTTGTTTAATCGGTTGTCACTTTGGCCGTTCGAGCTGTCATTCTCGGAAACCAGCATGCTAATGTCTGAGGCATTCTTTTCCCGTACTTCTTCAGATTCAGCGCCTTTAGCATCTTCCGGCACTTGCCCGTTCACCACCACTGCTCGAGTAACCGTAGGGACTACAACTGTATGACCGAATAACTTAAGCTCTTCCTGACATTTTTCCAGTACTTTTTCCATTGCCATAGTGGTAAGGCACTGCACAACCAGAGCGATAGTAAAGACCAGCTTCGTAACAAGGAGAATGGCAAAGAAGACCGTACCTGTTTTCCGTCACAATCTGTTATAGGAAGAGCTCCTGGAGAAACTTCCATGCTTGCCTTACGCGGGTACGGATGGCTTGGCTTTCGCTTCGGCCTAGGTGGAGGAATATCAATATCTTGAGCCGTACCTGGAACGATGCTTCCAGTTGCCTGTTCTTTTTCCAACTGGAAGGGAAACAAAGAAAAACCCCAAGTTCATTCCAAGTCCTTCAAACTCGTTCCTTCAAACGCACCTTCGAGAAGAATTTTTGAGCATGGCTCCTTATCTGGACTGCAGTTTTGGTGCCAATATGTTCTGGAAAGAAAGAAAACTCTAATCAAAACTCCATGGTAAAGCTCTAGAACCTCACCTTCAATCCGACGCCATGCCCGACCATAGAGTTTCAAAGCCTCTAGAAACTTTTGATGTTCTTCTTCCGTCCACCTCTCTCGCTGCTTGGTGATCGTGTATGGCTTCCTTACCTGGATCAATGGAAACTCCTTTGGTTGCGGACAAAACCAAAGCCCACGCCCACCTTAAAAAGTGAATCGTCTCCAACCTCACCGAGCTGGTGCTTCACTGCCGGATCTCCCGGTAGAAAATTGGTTTCATCTCGCCCATCCTATGGCAGTCCCGAAAATCATTCACAAACAATTCCATGAAAGGCGGACCTGGCTGTACTTCCTCGCAGGTAAATCAGTCATCACGATTCCGGCCTCTCGACCATGTGGCAAATCCTCGAAACACTGAAAGAAGAGAGCTAGATCCTCGCATAAACATTGCCCAGAGAGATCATAGATACCGGATAGAACCAAATTGAGTTGAGATCAACTACCTCTCCAAGCGAGAAATCTCTGAATCACGATAAATCTCTGGCGCCTTCGCTCGGATCGAGAGGATCACTGGCCCCAACGCCGCCTGGATCGCCGCCTCATCGTCGCCTACGCCTCCAAACCCTAGAAACCTCCATGACAACACACGCAGCCACTATGGATGATCCATTCTGGCAAAGGGAAAAATGAAAACAATGCGAGATAAAACTCAAGAGATTTCCTTTTTTTGTTTCTCTCCTTTTTTCCTCTCCGTGTTCTTTTTTCTAGATTGTTTGTTAAAGGAGTGGCTCGTGGAAGAGAACGCATCTCCTGCGCCCTTGCTACCTACCAAGCAAGAAAGCACCTCGTTTACTCTGATGCGTGCTACCTGCCTAGTCCGCATCTTCGACCCGGTAGACAGGCAGCAGCCGGTCGTGGATGCTGACTAAGAAATCTATACGGCCAGGATATTTTCCAAAAGAAAATGCGGTAGTTTCTAACCAGTGGTCTTCTTAAAGAATATTCCTATCCCACTTTGTACTGGATAAACGAATTTTTTTATCAATGCTTTATCACGACCAGATTTTGCGAGATTTCATTTCTAGGAAAGCCAGCCACACGCTCCTGCCAAGCCCACACAGCCACAAATGCGCCTTTACACTTTTTTCTTCATGGGGCTCATAGAACGCCACGTCGGTGCGTAAAATATCTGCTCATTGACGGCCCGGATTCGATGGATCCAACGGCTGTTCCAAAGCTTAAATCTTCTTCTGGTTTGTCAGGTAGATTGCCCTGGGAAAGGAAGCTCCAAAAACTTCAGGCTCCCGCAGTGATGATCTCATTGCTGGCAGGGGTGAATTGTGATAATTTGGTGCTGCAAGATGATCGTGCCAAATGCCTGCCTTAAGTAGCCACAGATTTGTAAATGGCATCGAGCAGAATGAATAACATATACAAAGCTCTCATATTTTTCCTTCTCTTTCATACGATGCCCTGTGTATCTTCGCCTACTTTCCAGTCTTGGACTTCCAAAACACTTCCATGATCGATTCAAAATATCTAGCCCTGGAAGAACACCGGGAGACACTGATCAAAGCAATCAACCCAGCATTTAGAGGACGAAGTTATGGGGTTTATGTTTAAACAAGATGCCTCCCAGATTTTTTTGTGCTTTCGGAGAGATGCCAAGCATCCTTTTTCGCAAGAAGCTGGCTATGGCGTGCTGCAAGATGTATGTATCCACCTCTTCCAATAGGCAGGCCATGGAGAACATAGAACAAGCAATGCGCGGCCACCCTCAAGTTCCACTGCTCCATACTTTCCGCGACGAGCATTACGACAGGGTGGGCTACACTCTCGCCGGCAAGTGCGGCTCTACAGCAAGCCGTGAAAATTTTGCGGACGCCATAGTCGATATGATACGAGCCGCAATATTGAACATTGATCTCCAAAAGCAGTCTGGAAGCCATCCTCGTCTGGGTGTCGTGGACAATCTGTGCTTTCATCCACTGGGAAAGGAGGCTTCTATGGATCAAGCAGCTGAATTGGCTAGATCGTGTGCACGAAGTATTGGAGCTAAACTTCAAGGTAAGCAAAGCTGGTCTTTAAAGAAAAGAGAAACGAATCTATCTCGTTATCCAAGGCTAGATCGACTGACGCAGTACTTATGCTTTATATGATCTCCAGTTCCAACTTTTCTTTATGGTGCTGCTAGTTATGAAAATGTCCCGCTGGACGCCATTCGCAGATCTCTGGGCTACTTTAAGTCGGCAAAGCCTGGGATTTGGCAAGGATCATCGAACAACACAGCGTTATCACAGCCTCCACAATTCGGCCCAGCTCATTTTCCTGCCAGCACTGGGATTATCACTGCGGGAGCTTGTCCCTGGATCGCCAACTACAACATCCCTCTCCAGACGGGCGATCTCCAAGCCGCTCGGAGAATCGCTCGCAGCGTGTCGCAGAGAGGCGGCGGCCTGGCTCACGTCCAGGCGATGGCTCTGGCTCACGGCGTGGACTCGATCGAGATTGCGTGCAACTTGCTCGATGTCCACGAGACCAGCCCTTCGAGTGTGCAGAGCTTCGTGGAGTTCCTGGCTAGAGACGAGTCATCAGTGGAACGAGTCTGCCTTGGCTACTTGACAAATCTCGAAGAGGAGTCCATCTTGGAGCTCGCAATGGAGAAGATGGAACCTTGAAAAGGATTATTTTGTTCTATAAATTATAGGCCATTTAAAGTTATTTCTAATCATTGTTTTTAAATGAATTTAGTGCAGAAGCCCTAGGGATTTTAGGTCAAGTATAATAGGTATGGCTTTGCGAAGAGGAGTTAAGCAATCTCGCGAATGTGTGGAGCAGCACTGGCTCAGCTTCTTTGAGGATCCTGAGCTATGGTGGGACAATAGATCTAAAAATGTGAGTGTTCTTCCCAATACCAGTACCTAGATTACAACTTGGCATTTCTCTACAGTGGGGCAACTATCCGGACTTCAAGCATTCGTCCACTGGAGTAGGACTGTGGATTGGTTCTTGCCCTGCTTGGCTGCAACCCAAGATTAAATGCCTAGAAGATGCTACAAATGGAGGTACTCGCAGAGCACACTACAAGAAAGATGATCATAGCATCGGGACGAACTCGCATTCTCCGCTCACACGAGCTACCACCACGAGACAGCCATTGACATACCTGGCGTTCCCAGAGAAGCTGCTGGCGGACTTGAAATCCTGCAACGATTTGGAGGGCGGGAGGGAACTCGAGAAGTCTGCCGCTTCCCAGGGCCAGGACGCGAGCGTCTACGTCGCGGCGGCACTGGTCAGCATGTACGCAAGGTGCGGCAGCCTGATAGATGCGAGAAGAGTTTTCGAGGCCAGGGAAACTCGGGATACCAGGACGTGGAACGCTTTGCTGCTCGGGTACGTCAACAATGGGATGGGGGTTGCTGCGCTCGAGCTGTTCGAGCGCATGGTTTCGGATGGGTGTGCTCCGGATTCCAGGACTTTTGTAGCAGCAGCGAAGGCTTGCGGGATCTCTGCGGCAGCGGAGTTGGCAGAGCAGCAGCAGCAGCAAGGATTCAAGGCTGCTATCAAAGCGAAAAAGAGTCTGGAAACCGGTGTGGCGATCCACGGTCAGGCAAGAACGAAGGGATTCGATACAGACATATATGTGGCGAACACGCTCGTTGGGATGTACGCGAAGTGTGGGGACATGGCCGCTGCTCGCGATGTGTTCGACAGCATCCAGCAGCCCAGCGTGGTCTCGTGGAACGCTTTGCTGCTGGGATGTGTGGAGAATGGAGAAGCCGAGCTCGCCTTGCAGCTCTATGAAGAGATGGTGATCGGCGCGGAAGCTCCTCCTCCTTCCGCGGAGACGTATGTCGCAGCTTTGAAGGCTTGTGTGGCTCTAGGCGCGGAAGAGCGGTGTCTCAAAGTTGGGAGAAGCATTTACTCGCTAGCGCTTGCCAGCGGCTGCATGTCGAATCTCTACGTGAAGAGCACCATGATCGACATGTATGCCAGGTGTGGAAGCCTCGAGGACGCCAAGAAGGTTTTCGACTCCTCGCCGCAGCACAACGCAGTCACCTGGAATGCCTTGCTGTTTGGATACGTCGAGAATGGACGCGCGCAGGGTGCTCTGGAACTCTTTGCGCGGATGAAATCGTCCACCAAAGATGGCGCTCGCTGTGCTCCCACTTCTCGGACTTATCTCGCAGCGGTGATGGCCTGCGCTGCTCTGGCTGCTCAAGAAGAAGCCACCGAGGTGGAGATTGGGCGGTTTGCGAGGCTTCAATCGCTGGAGAGAGGACGAGCTCTCCACCGCGAGGCTGTGAAGGTGGTGGGAGCGGACCTTGATTCAAGCGTCCTCTTCTCGAGCGCGCTGGTTGATATGTATGCGAAGTGTGGCTCCATGGTGGACGCCAGGCGGGTTTTCGATAGCGTGGCTCCGGCTAAGCGGGACGTTGTGCTCTGGACTGGCTTGATACGGGGATACGTCAATAGCGGGGAGAGCGAGCGAGCTTTGGAGCTTTACTCGCGCATGGCTGGCGATCAAGGCTCTCATGCTGGCATAAGCCCAAGTCCTCAAACTTATGGTGCTCTTCTCAAGGCCTGTGGCTCCGTCAACGCGCTGGAAGCTGGGGAGCAAATCCATGCCCAAATCGTGGGGCTCCTGGACAAGAATCCAATCCTGGTGACGTGTTTGATCGACTTCTACGGCAAAACAGGGAGAATGGCTGCTGCTCGCAAGGTGTTTGATCAGTGGATCTCCGTGACCAAGCATGATATCGCGGCCTGGAACGCGGTGATAGCGGGATATAGCCTCCAAGGTGATGCATTGGCGGTGTTTGAGATGCTGGAGAGAATGGAGGAGGAAGATGGCCTGGAGCCAAACGGGGTGACCTTCGTGTCGGTTTTGAGCGCTTGCAGCCATGCCGGTCTGGTCGAGGAGGCGAGGAAGTATTTTGCAGCGATGAGCAACAAGCATGGAATTTCTCCAGGGAGAGAGCACTACGTGTGCATGGTGGATCTGCTGGGCCGCGCAAACCGGTTTGGCGAGGCGGTAAACGTGATCGAATCCATGCCCATGAAGCCGGATGCGATCATCTGGAAGACGCTGCTCGGGGCGTGTCGAAAGTGGAAGAATGTGGCCGTGGGAGAGGTGGCTTTCGAGTCGCTGGTGGAGCTCGACGCAAGCAGCGCTGCGGCGTATGTTCTCATGGCCAACATATACTCGAGCACAGGCAAGCTCGACGAGAGGAGCAAAGTTCTTGCTAGAAGGAATGTGGCCAAGGCTTGGAGGAAGCCGGGCAAAAGCTGGTGGACCGATTCCAGTGGCCGGGTCCATAGCTTTTTGGTCGGGAACACCACTCACGAGCAGATTGGAGAGATCCGTGCCAAGCTCGAGGAATTGGTGGCGAGGATGAAGGAGAATGGATATGCTGCTGACGTTGAGAGTGTGCTCAAGGATGTGAGCGATGGCGAGAAGGAGGACGCGCTTTGCCAGCACAGCGAGAAGCTTGCAGTCGCTTGTGCGTTGATCAATTCCAAGCCAGGAAGCGTGGTCAGGATTGCAAAGAACTTGAGAGTGTGCCAGGATTGTCACAAAGCCACCGCAATCATCTCCAAGCTGGAGGAGAGGGAGATCGTGTGTAGAGATGCGAGCAGGCTCCATATTTTTAAAGGTGGACAATGCTCATGTGGTGATTATTTATAAGACAAATAATCTAGTACCATTAGCTTGGCTAAGAAAAGTGATGAATGAGCAAGTCATGGGCGCGCTCAAAACAATCTCTTGCTATCTCCAGAAAAAGATGGGTTTAGTAATAATTATTTTGCAATATCCACCTGAACACCAAATCGCAATTGCGGAATTTGGCTCCGAACTTTATAATGATGTGGCCGTAATGGAACAAGAAGGATTCTTGGTGAGGACAGTATCTAGAGTGGAATATGTAGCTGCTTGTGAATAAATAATGCTGCAGTAATGATTCATTATGATGAATATCTTCCTTGCCATGCCAGATAAAGGACGTTCGCCACCACCACAGGATCCTCTAGATGGAATTACTGCCATGTGCTATCACATTATCTCTATTATCTTTCCAAAGGTAATTATTATGACACCAAATAATAAGACAAAGAGGCCTAACCTCGCCTAGACCCAAAGACCCCCATGTCCACGGCTGCAGAGCTGGATGCTCAAAGCCTCGCACTACTTCAGTCGCTCTCGAAGCATGCAGTTCTCCTCCGTGTAAACAATTACCAACGTCCAAACTATAAGGTATGTTAAGTTCCTTACCCTAATATTCCTTTGAGCTTAAACATAACTCCATACAAAAGAGCTTAAAAACAAAGAAAAACTTGGTGAGCAAGCTTTGGAGAAATCATGTCAGAAACAACATTCATGAAGCTACTTACTCTCATGCTGCTGAGTCCTGGCCGACTTCTTTTGCAGAAGCAAGTGAAAATGCCAAGCTTGAGTTGAAAGCCCAGGGAGGGCTTTCCGTCACTGATGGTAGCAGCTTCGTCCCCTTGTGGCAAAGCACTCCCGGACAGTGTTGTGCTGAAAGTGCTGTGCTGCTTGAGAACAGGATCTTAGTTGTTTTTGGGAAAGACAAGAAAGGTAGCTTCGATTCTCCAACAAACCTTTTGCCCAAGCAGCAGCTCCTTATTCAAGGAAAAATCTGTCCTTGGGATACATGAGGTTGATTTCCCAGTTTGGAGCATACCAGCTTATTCTCAATAGTGGTCAGGTGCTGCTCAAGAACTTAAAGTTGGAAAGTACTAGTCTACCAAATAAGTGAATCTAGACACTTTCCATAATTAACATTTAGAACCGAAATGAGACTAATACATAGGGCATGATAGCAAGGGTGTTTGGTAGACACAGTAAGCAATCATTTAGCGAATATTGAGGGAACAATCTCAATATTGTGGGGGTTCTTGATACTAACAAGTGCAAGTTAATGACAGGAGTTTCTCAAACTAGGTCAAGTATGAAACATATAGGGTTCTTACCTTATGTTTATTCGATTTAAGTGCATGGTCATTGACCAGTTTCTCAACTAGCTCAAGTGGGAACTGATAACAAGTCCAGCAATACCGATTTCCTGCCGTCATGGCAGTAAGGAAAGAGTGTTCTTAAAGATTGGCCGACAGGTAACTTTCAATACCTGAAGTCACATTTACAACACTCTCCCCCCCTAGGGAAGATCGACATCCTTGTAAATGCACACTTGAGTTTAGACCACCATCAAGGAAACAACTCCAGAAAAAGTTCATGGTGATCACACTATGTGAGAAATGCACCAACTTAAATGAGTTAGGATAACCTCTTTGTCTAATGCAGATGTGCTACCCACTCAGACACCTTCTAGCCGTCACTGACAAAGAAATGACCAATGGAGTTAGCCACCCTTGTTGCTTTGGTTGTCACCCAACTTACAAAAGTGTGATACACCCCTGCTTGCAGAGACATAAAGAGAAAAGCCAAAGGCCCCAACCCTCATGAGCAAAGAAATTAAACCTGTCGGTAAGGTTTAGATAAACTACTGTAAATAGGTAGTTAGAGTTGTTTACATGGTCACGCCCTTGTAATGAAATAAGGAATATTGATAGAGAGGCAGGTGATGTGACCAGTCAATAGTAACTACCCCATGACTAAAGATTTCACCATGCACACGAAGTGCCGAAGCTAGGGTACCTATATTGGCCCAAACTTAAAGATCAATAGATGGACAATATCAAAGTCATAAATAATG